AGAGTGCTACACGCTGTATGGATGACCCACAAAAGTATTTTTGCTTGCCGAATTTTTTAATAGTTTACTCTGGATCCAAGAGACTTTTTTTCCAGTGCAAGATACGAATTTCCTTTTTGAACGAAAACGTTTGTCGATTGTAAGGTCAACGAAAAACGACCCTTGGACGGAGGATCCGTGCGCGTTAAGCGTTAATTAATTTACTTCCTGCCGCCTTTTCTCGGTAGCTTGGCTCGGGTTTCACCGGTGACAAAAACGGCTCGGTGACACTATGTCCTTGGTGCTTGCATAATTTTCATAAATATTGATGAGTCGGACGCGGGCGCCGGAGTGTGCCGTGTAGTTTCCACACAATGCTATATCGGATTTTTAATCGATGAATAGAAAGCAACCCCACTCGAGTAGACTGCCGTGCTAAGGAAAAACGCCGTATGAGCATTCGAGAGCTGCCAAATTTCCCTCCATAAAATGTTTATTTTTTAGGAAATATATGAATATTTTTCCTTGTTATTTTCAGGGACTTGAGGTGAAAATGCGAACAAAATTATCTGAAAGATTAGAAGGAAAATATTCATGAGTTTTCCAAGAAATTCGTGTTGCATCGAAGGAAATTTGGCAACGTCTGAAGGTTCATACGGCGTTCTTTCTCAGCACGGCAGTCGAGTTGACCTGAGTTGTGCATCGAGAACCTAAAAGTCGCCCGAACTGCGTCTCACCGGGCGAGTCAATTTTATCTGTTATTCAGGCTGAGAACTTTCTTAGCTTTTTCAAATGAAAACTTCGGTTAACAGGGCCAAAAACTTCAGTATGCAATGAACGAAAGTTCGGTCGTATCTATGGAAGTTTTCTCGCGCGGTGCCAGACAACGCCTTGTTTCCTCCCTCTAGTCCGAAATTTCCGAATGTCCGGAAATAGTCCTATTTTTTTAAGGGCGATCCGGAAGCACTGAAAAAGTGAGGAAATTCCGCAAGAAGGTCCGGAAATAGTCCTAAGTTTTTAAGGGTGATCCGGAAATCCTGAAAAAGTGCGGAAATTCCGCTAGAAGGTTCGGAATTTTTCCTTCACACCACGTTTGTTTTTTAATAAAGCTTGGAAAGTATGTAATCCCCTTCGCGTTGATTCTGAGAGTAGCGTATTTGCCTGTAAGATCGCGATTGTGCAGTCAGTTAATCTTTGAGTTACCAATGAAATTTCGTGTCAATGTCATTTTTGGCGCAATTCGAGCGAGTATTTCAAATTTTCGACATTTTTCGAATTTCATCAGAAGTAGGCACCGTTTTACTGAATTTTCCTGTCGAGGAGATAAGGAGTTTCTTGGGAACGTACTGCAGAAGTACTCTGAAAGCACTGCTTTTTGGTCAGCATACTTTACTGCCGTGCTAAGGAAGAACGCCGTATAAACATTCGAGAGTTTCCAAAATTCATTCGATAAAACGTTTATTTTTGAAGAAATTTTCGTAAATTTTTCCTTTAAATTTTCAGGGACTCTAGGTGAAAACACAAACAAAATTACCTGAAAAATTAGATTATAAATATTCCTAAGTTCACCAGGAAATTCGTGCTTTATCTAAATAAATCTGGCAACGCCTGAAGGTCCATACGGTGTTTTTCCTTTGCACGGCAGTTTCGTAGACACCCTGTTCTTCCTACCTTCTTTTTTTTATTAACGGTTTGTTTTCACACCGTGATTCGGGGGTGGAATCACCTTCCCGAGAGAAGCGCGGGCCGCATAATCTGCATTTCAGTGCCACGCTTTTCGAGTAGCTTTTGCGTGGAGGCACTTGACCCAAAAATCGAAGTCCGCGTCGTTGCCACGTGGTGCGAACCCCGTCACGAGCGTGTTGGCTCCCCGTCATCACTGCCGCGTGTAGCTCGTTTGACAACGTCGCTGGTTGAAAGATATCATCTCCGCAGGATGAAGAGCGCTGTCACCCGAGCTCAGTGTCGCAAGTCCTCGTTTCAGGAACGCAACTCCGTTTTAAGATTGAAAAACGGACCGAAACGATGCAATTTCAGGGTGTCTACCGGTCCCCAAAAGTCCCCAATGTAATCCCCGATTTTGGAGATTTTGGAGGGGTGTCCCCGATATCCCCGAAAATGCCCAATTTTCTTATTCAGGTCCCCAAAAGCATCCTCCACGCGGTAATAGTCGTCTGGAATATTCTCACCTTTCAGGAAAACGGGAGAGCTATAACCAACGAGTTCGGTTTTTCGAAACACTCAGGTGGGAAAATGTCCTAAACTAGTATCCTGCCTCGTCAAGGAAAAACTCCGTATGAGCCCTCAGGCGTTGCCGATTTTCCCTTGATAAAACACGAATTTCCCGGTAAACTTATGGATATTTTCCTTCCAATTTTTCAGATTATTTTCTTCGCAATCTCACCTATAGTCCCTGCAAATTTCAAGGAGAAATATTTATAACTTTTCGCAAAAATAAATATTTAATTGGAGGAAATCTGGCAACTCTCAAATGTTCATAAGGCTGTCTTCCTTAGCATGGCAGTATTGTTTCGTGGAAAGTGATCCTGATAGCTCGATCCGGCAATGTCGTCGAGCTGATTTAAATTTCCGGAAAATTGCCTCGTTATTTCACATCCCGGACAGGCAGTTCACGCTTGCCGCGGCCTTAGCGCCATGGAAACCGGGGTTAGAGCACCATTGTCGGCAGCTGGTGCTGAAAAATTATCAATTTTCCACATTTAAACTCATGAAAAATATTCACATTTTATACTTTTGGCAACCCGGAACAAGGTCCTAGCTTCCTCATTTACCCCGCCCCGCCGTGTGGTCCGTCTCCTGACTCTATCGTCGCTCGTTTTTGTACCAAAAAGCACGTATCTCCATTGCAGTGCTCCAACATTTCTGCTCCGATTCTGTTTTTTTCGAAAAGAATTTCATGAGATTTGGTGCATTATCGTCGTCAAAATGCGCGGTAATATCGATTTATTTTCCAGAACTTTGGTACCCTTCTTATGAAGCACTTTTGGTAAAAAAAATCTCATATCCGGGGGAAAAGTCTTATTTTGATCCATGGACCTCGCTATTCTGCCGAGCTAAGGAAGAATGCCGTTTGAGTATTCAGTAGTTGCCATATTTTCTGAATTAAAAAACGAATTTACTGGAAAAATCGTGAATATTTTTCCTCCAATTGTTTTGACAATTTTGTTTGCAATTTAATCTAAAATATCTGAAAATTTCAAGGAAATGTATGCATCTTTTTCTTCAAAATACTTGCTCTATTACGGGGAATTTGGCAACGCTCTAATGTTCATACGGCGTTCTTCCTTAGCACAGTATTGCATTCTGGCGGTTTGATGTTGGATCACCTTGTATTTTCCTTTTTTCCTCGTCTGCTCTTTTTTTTTGTTTTCTCTTAATCTCCTATTTTCTCTTTGAAATTTTTCTCTGCTAATCGGCTGTGTAACTCTGTTCTTTCAGACGCATTTTAAAGACGAACCCGCCAATTCCAGAGCATCTGTCGACGGATGTGGTGGACTTCATAAGTCAGCTTTTAGTCAAGGACCCAAGGAAAAGACTTGGCGGTGATAAAGATGCCGAAGAGCTTAAAAAGCATCCTTTTTTCAAGGTCAGTCGGAGCAGTGTCTCCCTTTCTTTATTTTCAGGATTGAGGGGTTTATTCCTTGTTCAAAACTTACAAAGTTTATGGCTAGACCAAGGAGAGCTAAAAAATTAATCAAGGAAGAAACGAGTTTACCGAAAAAATTAAATCGAAACTTCAAAAACTGGAATTTTTAAATTGAAATTAAACTGGAAATTTACGTTCTACATATGTATTGCAGTTATAATATAATCTAAGTTATGATGTAAATATATATTTTTTTAATTTAAATGAATGGCAGTACTTTTTCTTATACTCTGATTCTAAAGTAGTAAAAAGTTGGCATTTTTTCTCACTCACAACATTCTTTTCTTATTTTTAGGCGGAAAGTAATAAGCCTGATGAAATTACTAGTATGAACGAACCACATGAAATTTTCTTCAGAGCCCCTCGTGTTCAATGAAAATTCTATACTCAATGTTATTTCAAGGGGACTTTAATGCCAGGAAGCTCACCGCAAGTCCCTTGCCATTTTAGAATATCGATTTTTGCATTGTATGGATATGTAAGCAAGTTTTCAGTATTGACGTTCTGCTAATAAAACTATTTTTTTCTGTTTTACAGGATATGAATTGGGTTGCTTTAGCCAAAAAAGCAATCAAAGCACCGTTTGTACCAAAGATTACCAATGAATTGGATGTTAGTAATTTTTCGGAAGAATTTACAAAAATGACTCCTGCTGACTCTCCTGCTATAGTTCCTCCTAATTTTGATAAAATTTTTAAGGTTTGTATAAATGTTTAATCTGAAAGATAAATTGAAAATTTATTTAAATTGTTTTGCCACAAAATTCAAGCCTTTGGTGAAAGAGTAAATTGAGTAAAAATTAGTAGTAAAATACCTAATAAAAAGGTTTTATCTCCATTTTATTGTGAAGAAGGTTTAACGGTCTCAAGGATCTATTGGTACAGGGATCTATTTTCTTGTCCCTATTCATTAATGAAAAATGCATTAATTGTGTGTTATCTTGTTTCAGGGTTATTCGTATGTTGCTCCCTCAGTTTTATTCACCAATAATGTGATTAGTAAGGAAATTTTCTGTGATCCCCAATTGACCGACAAGAAACCTAGTTTAGCAAATCTCATCTACTGCAAATTTAAGGTAAGTTACCCAGCACCTCACCTTGAAGAAACAATTGCTCTGTCCAGTGAACACCCCGGGTCACCTACATCTATGCATTTTTTTGTCCACTGGAACCTAAAGTTTTCAATTTTAGTTTTTGTGAGTCAGTGAAAAATCAGCCTTTGAATGTGTTGATTATAATTCATACTATCAACTAAGTACACGCTCAATCACTTGATCTACAAAAATAAGTGCACACCCAATAATTTGATCCATAAACAATCTTATCACAAAACTAAATTTAAAATAAACTTGAGCGTTAGAAAGAAGATAGGTTTCCTCATCCTATTTTATTTTCATGCAAAAAGATCTTAGTTCTCTTCCCTCCCTTTTCACCTCTTCCTTTTCTGGTGAATATTTTGTTTGATTTTTCAGTTTCAAGGAAAAGAAACCAATATTTTTGCTCTGCATAAGTTGATATCCTCTGCCTTTTTATTCCTCGCTTTGCAAGCAGACTTTTTTTCATTCCTCTCTATTCTCTGTCAAAATTCTAACAGTAACTTGGTTTTTTTAGGAATCCACCTTCTTCCAACATTATGAAGTTGATGTAGAAAGGAAAGGACTTTTAGGGGATGGTAGTTTCTCCGTCGTCAGACGGTGTGTTGAGAAAGAAACTGGTCGCAAGTTTGCAGTGAAAATAATTAGTCGAAAAATTGATGCCTCTAGAGAAATTAATCTATTGCGAGCCTGCCAAGGACATCCTAACATTGTCAATCTTCATCAGGTCTATTATGATGAGGTAAGTGGAAGTATTCTCTCATCTACTTTGAAGGAGGTATTACCCGAGTTTCACAAATTTCAAATAGCTGTCAAATCCAAGAATTTCATGGCTAATAGTCTGAACCAATTTTAACTTCTCTGCCGCACTTAATGGCGTATTTTATTCTCACATGAGCCCTGGAGAGCTCAGAGTTATATTGAGAACAGGGCTCATGTGGAAGTTGATACGTCCTTATGACAGAGGAGCAAAGCCGTATGACATTTTTGAAAAAATTGTTCTTCTCAGCATACATCCTCACAAGATCTGCCTTGAGAACAGTTGAACAATTAAGTTCATTTGTTCAAGTTTTTCCCCCCTTGCCCTTTACAAATTAGATGTTAATTTTTTTCACAAGCTTTTATTCGATTGTCTAAGTTTTAGCGCATTATTTTTGATATAACGCAGAGGTGATGCACCCCAGTAATAAAAAGAGAGACTTATTTTAAATGTTGCATTCAATTTTTTCATTCTAGCAGAATATTATTTTGCAGGTTTTTCTTTATTTTCTTTTTTTAAAAACTGACAGTTAATGGCGAACTATGATCAAATATAATATTACGTTATTTTAACTAAACAATCAATTCTGATTTTTTATCATTGTTGAAGAAAATACCCCTTTATTTTTTTTCGGCCACTATGCGGAGGCTTATACCACCACAAATGTAATAGTGAAAAGTGGTAGTGCTAAGCCGAATATCTTCTGAATAGGAAAAAGTATGAAGTTCCTATTGACATTTAGTTTCTAATGATTTTTAGTTCCCCCTCAGTAATAGAAGAGAGATTCTCTCCGAAATTGCGTTGTAAGATTTTAAAATTATTTTTTTCTCTCACTAGGTTCATACCTATTTAGTCATGGAGCTTCTTCAAGGCGGCGAACTGCTGGACAGAATCCGCCGGAAGAAGCGTTTTACGGAGACTGAAGCCAGCAAAATCATGCGGGAATTAGTCTCTGCGCTCCACTTCATGCATTCCCGAGGTGTCGTTCACCGAGACCTAAAACCAGAGAATCTGCTCTTCACCGAAGAGACGGATGATGCTGTGATAAAAATTGTCGACTTTGGTTTCGTCCGACTGAAGCAAGAGTCAGAAACAATGCACACGCCTTGTTTCACGCTCCACTATGCTGCTCCTGAAGTGCTCAACCAGCGCGCAGCTGGCTACAATGAGAATTGTGACCTGTGGAGCTTAGGAGTTATTCTCGTAAGTACCTATCTGATATTTTTGAAATACTTAGTAAGCTGTTGCTCCACACCACGGGTGCAAATAGCTCTCAACCGCATGACCTACCGTTTGGTATCAAACTGCAGACACAGACAGGTTTTTTGGCAAGACTTTAATTTAAATTAAAGTAAAAAATATTGAGCTCTAACAAGCAGTTGTTATTTGTTTTCCCCGCAGAACAATGTGGACCCAACACTGTTTTACCACCTTATTCCATATAGTTCAGGCCACAGTTTCCAGTGTTTTTTCTCTTGCTTATGCTTTAAAGTTTGTTGAGTATATTCTAAATAAATTTGAAATTAGTTAATTGGTAGAAATTTTTAAGCATTACCTGATTATTGGTTAGTCATAGGCTGCTCTACCTAGGAGTATGAATAGATATGAAAACCAGCACATGCAAGGTACTCATTCATGCTTTAATTTTTTCAGTATACAATGCTGAGTGGCAAGCCGCCCTTTCATTGCCCTTCCATCGATGATAGCGCTGCTGCGATCATGAGCCGTATCAAGGAGGGAGACTTCAACTTCAAAGCCGAAGCTTGGAATAGCGTTTCAATCGAAGCAAAGCAGCTCATCAAAGGTAAACCATCACTTGCAAAATAATCTCCAGTGAATTGAATTGTCCTGCGCATAAGTAGCTTCTATTTTTAGATTTCTTTTTCTTTCATTGTTCTTAAAAAACAGTAGACAATTAACGTAAGCGAGAATTAAAATTGTATCACAAATTCTAATTATGTGAAACTAAATGAAATAATCATGAATTAAGAATCTGAAAAAGCTATTGTGAACTAGCCTATAAAATGAAAATCATAGATTTGGTAGACTTGATTTAGATAAATTCTTTTAGATGAGAGGGGGAAATCAACCGCAAAACCAAGGATTGCTCAGTTTTCAGTTCTTAGGCAGCAAGATTACATTTTATGAAATTCGCTCCCTCTATGGTGATGCACAAATTAAATTAAATGATTTTTTCTCAGGACTTTTGACTGTGGACCCCACAGAGCGCTTGAGTATGCACGACCTCCGCTGCTCACCGTGGCTCATGGGTAATGGAGTTTTGTCGACCCCACTGATGACCCCTGGAATCCTCACCGGTGGCTCATCAGCCCGATCAGCGGAACTTGGTATTAGTCTCACATTCAGTGCTTTCCATCAAGCCCATCGAGAAGGATTCACATTACAGGTGTGTTAGCATTTCTTCATTTTTAAATAATGTAAGCCTTTCTCTCAGGTATTCTCAGCATCAAGTTATAAGCCATTGAGCAGCTCCAAGGAACTATGCATAAATTATGTCTGGTATTAGAAAGAGACGAGGAGTTTGTTTCAGTCTAACGAGGAGAGGAATGAGGGACAGGCATTATGTAGCGTCATGTGGAAGTTGCTGTGGAGGAAAATTTCGTATTTGTCAGAATTCATTCGATAGTTTTAGTAGGGAAAAATGTAATATGTGCTGATTTTTATGTAAAGAGAAATGAGGTTTAAAAATTCAGCGTGGTGTAATTCATGAAAAGTTTCTAGTTCTAAAATTGATTTTGAGTTTAAGTACAATGATGAAAACATCTCTTAGTACAGAGTTCATACATAATTGCATTTTACTCTGTTTAGAATATTGAATTTATTAAACAGATAAAAAAAATTAAAGAACAAAGTTGAACATCTCTGAATAGGAGGCAGGAGAGATCAGATTTTACTCAATCCAAATATTTACCTATGTTCACATGGTTTCACAAAATGCCCCGGTTTGCAAAGCATTGGAGGGCAAAAAATTTGGAATGAAAATGTTTGATGGTCAGGAGCAGTCATAGAGAATAAATAGGTTTAATTTCGTCATTAATGAGTAGGATTGCAATTAAAAATTAGGGCAAATAGATGTGTTAGGAAAGAGAATAAATGAAACAGAGGCAAGGAAAAATAATCGCACAGTATAGCACATTACAAGAAAAGCAGAAAAGTTAAGTACTTAATAGGGATGTAACTGACTTACAATCACTTCATTTTTATACTAATCTTTATGTTTTTGTTTGACTTTGCAGGATGTTGGAAAAGCCAAGTTAGCTCAACGACGTAGAATGAAAAAATCATCCAATGATAATCGTAGTTTCTCAACTTCTAGTAGTTTCTCTTCTAGTTCCTCTGGTGAGTATTAAGCTTTCTGCAATCATCCATTTTATCACTTAACTTCTTTACTTCTCAGTTTTCACGGAAGAAAATACTTCAGTTACATCGGTGATGTGACATACACTGCAAGTGACTTAAAATACTTCAGAACAGAGATTCCTTTATTGTTTTAGAGAGAGGGCTATGTAGCAACGTGGTTTTTAATTTTATAGATTTCATCTCTGAATCATATCAAATGAAGATACTAGGCCTCAGTAATCTGTGAGATCTACTTTTTGATTGAAAGTTGGTATGAATGTTCAGGAAGCGTATTTGCCCTTAATCTTGACCAACATATTTTATAATTTGTTTAAATTTTGGTATTTTTTTTTCAGGTGCTTCTTCAATGCGAACACCTCTATCTCATAGCAGTAGCCTGCCAAGTAGCTCAACAGTTACGCAGAAAAAACCATTTGAGCAAAAACGCAAAGCAATGAGTGACAATGAAAGCAATGTCTTCAACTTTGGTGAATCTCGCGTTCGTGAATACCTCTCGAGTCTCTCCTCAAGCTCATCCTCAGACAGCAGTCGCGACTGTCCCTTATCCACCGCCACCTTCAGCTTCACACCGCTCACGCCTCCCCCGAAGCGAAAAAAGTACTCAGAATTAGCTTCAAAAGACCCACTGCCCAGTACCTCTGCCACAATGCCCACAGAAAAAGAAAAGCCTATCAACGAACTGGTTCAAGAGAGACTAGTGCCAACACAAGTTTCAGAAAAACCTCTGATTTGCGGTCCACTGACTCGAGCCAAGAAAAGACAGCTCGACTCGGAATCTTCTTCTAGTAGCTCCACAAGTTCGTCCAAAAAATTGCGAGAGTCAAAGCCACGCAAACACAAGTACTGTCATCACCAGCATTTGAAACGCGGGCGGCATAGGGCGAAAAATAAGAAAAAATACGGTACAAGTAACTCCGACTAATTTCGTAGTTGAAATTGCCTTAACATATAATTACCATTGTTTGTTGATCCTTTTTGTTTCTCCAATTGTTAATTGGTCATTTGCATGCTAGCAGCGCACCGCTCTCGTGAACACCCTCGCCGGTATTTGTGTTTTTAATTTTTCATAAACAATGGAATACTGGTTAAGTTTTTGGTCGCAAGCAATTAAGTTACCTTTGTCTGTCGAAAGATCGAGATTACTCCATCGAAATTCCCACTTAGTCATTGGAAAAATTTATTTTTCCAAGCCTCTCATTTAATTGTTTTATTTCTTCCTCTTTTCAGGGTGTCTTTTTCCTAGGTGAGGTGATTCTTAAGTATCTCTCATTAAAATTATATGAAGCGTTTAAAATTTTGAAACTAAATTTTCTTTCTCTGTTGATCAGGGAACAAATGTATTTGTCTCTTGAAATATAATGTGTACCCTGTGTTGAAAATTTCTAATAGAAGGCCAAAAAATTTGAAAAAGATGATTTTATCCCCTAGACAATTTCATGAGTTGATAAGGTGTTTTGATAAATACTAAATGATTTTAGTTTTATCTAACCATCCCTCTCATCTTTTGCTGATACTTTTGAAACTCTGGATTTCTCTTTTTACCATATAGCGGCTTCATAATTTTTTTCCTAACTCTTGGTTTTGAATCAAGATTCGAGTGGATATTGCGTAAACGGTGTGCTGCTGAGCATCATGGATGAAATAGGCTCTATTTTGTTCATGTATTTTTCCTCCTGTCTCTCTTGTCAAATAATATTATCGGTAATCGAATCTGATAAATAAACAGCTATTATTAATATGTTAAAGTTGTGGCGTTGCAGCAGCTAAAATCAAATATATATATTTTTGTTTAAAATTGTATCAAGTAGGCATCTTACCAACTACCTCTTGCCTACCAATCTTTCAGTATGATTGCGAACCATTAAATATTTGATTCAATCCTAGTAACTCTATAGTAAAGAAAAAATTACCCTAGTAATCATTTACCTAGAATGCACAAATCGATGAAGAAAACAAAATCTCTTTTTCAAAGTATAAAAAATTGTTACTTTGCCAGACCTTATTTCTCCCCTAATTTCAAGGCTCATTTGTCAACAATTTTTATGCCGCTAAGTCCATAATTTTCTTTTAAAGTAGCCCCAATTTAAGTCAAATGAGGTTGCTTCAAGGTGCACTTAATACCACGGGTGTCACTTATTGATCGAAATTTGAAAAATAATAAAATTAAACATTTTAATAACATAAAGAAGGTGAACTACTGAAAAATGTATTATATTATCATAGTGTAATTTTTTTGTAGCAGACTCTGAAATAGTTGAGAATATTTTGAAAATTGTCTCCAAGCATGAAGGACAAGTTTGCTACAAATTCTCAAAACTTTTGAAAGTGAATATAATCCACATGCTTGATATTGAGTAAGGAAATTCCTTTAAGGAAATATGCTCTACATCTTGGATTGAACCCATGCCAAGTAAATTGACCAACTTTTTGAGCGTGATGAACGGTGTGCTGCATTTGTTTTAGCATCTAAAGCATCCGGTCTCTCTCCAAGAGTTGATGAGCTTATTATACACTGACTAAAAATCTCAGATTTTTGAACTTCTGAAAAACAAGTCACCTTGAAGGAACCTTTGATTCAAAACCTTGCAAGTCCCTCAATGAGGAAATTATGCTTGCAAGACAACGGCCTAAAAAATTTGTTCAAATAGATTGTAGGTTCCCTTGAGAAAATTCATCATTGGATCTGCTTGACTGTGGTCCTTTTCCCCTCAGCACTCTGCTTAAGTATTTTTTGTATTTTAATCAGTTCATGCAGGTTTCATGACTTGAGTTTGTGACTCTTACACTGTGCTCTCCTGTAATTTTTCTCTCTCTCGTCTCAAATTTTAAGTATTTTAGTAATTACTTATCTCTCTACTGCCACTCATGGTTTCGGTAGTTTCAAGAAGAAAATGAGGAATTGAGTCCTGTGTATGAGGACGGTTTACCTACACTATCAATTCCATTTACCTTTGAAAGCACTGCATTAGGCACTTCATGTTTGCTGTATGTACCTTTGTTCATTTCTGCTCCTTTCTCCTAAAAAAAATTTTGACTGCTTCATTAATATCTCTGCCTCAATTTTGTTCAGTTGGCATCTCTGTTCACCTAAAGCATTTATCAGTTGGTTTAAATTTTTGGAGTATAAACTATTCACTGGCATTTATTGAAGTTGCGCAAATGCATTTTCATGTTTCTGTTATTTCTCGTTTCCCTATTCAGTTGTTAGCTGATTGAGACAGGGCGGGTGACTTCATTCTCATTTTCGGTGTACCCTAAATCTGTTTTAAAAATTTCTATGGAAAGTGATCAGGTCCAAAACTCTGTCAAAAAGTTGACTTAACAATTGCTTTTTTGTTGCCTTCATTAAAACAATGTGTCATCCATAGGACTAAGGGGTCGCTTTGTAAAGTGAAAATTAGAAAGGCCAAACTTCGTAAACTTTCAAATGACAACATAATTTATTGAGGCTTATTATCAATAAGCTTATGACGAGGTACCAATTGTTGGGTAATATCGGTCTTTTTGGCGGCCCTGTTTGCTACTTTCAGTACCTGATAACCTCTGTATTTGCCCAAGTTCAAGTAAAATCTTCACCCATGGAGTGTTACCCCAAGATTTTTATTAAGAGAAATGTAAATACAAATATGAAGACAGATGGCTACAAAGTTACTTATATCCATAAAAATTAGAAAATTATCTAAAAATCAGTTTGGTTGTCAGTCAGCCAGACACAGTTTTTACGATGTTATGTTTTAGAATTGTTGGCTACACCTGCAATGGCAAGTAAAAATAAGAGCCTGTAAGACAATCTTCAGGGTCATTTTTGTGCTTGCCTCATATTTGGCCGTGTGCAGTGTTTTTTTGATGACGTGGTTAAAAAATAAGTATTATTCAGAAAGGAACCAAGGACCGGGTGCCAGTTCAGTATTAAATATCGTCAGAATCTTTTTCTACTTAATCGGCTGATGGCTACATCAAAAAATGTATTGTAACTTGCCTATTACTGAATTCACAGTCTATAAGGTCTCAGTTCCTTGTGAAGTGTCATTAAATTCATCATTAAATTTATTTCGTTTCGTCTATAATTTTTTTTTTAAAGAAAATATCTGTATTTTTGCGTGTCAGAATCTCAAGCTGAACAAAAAGTATTAGTAGCCCTTGAAGTCTCAGGGAAATCTCTGCAAAATGGATCATTTATCAAAATTGGCACTTCTTCCTTGGTTATTCAGCAAAGTATCAAAATCAGGTCCACCTCAGAACTATCACAATTTTTTAAGCTGCTTTGTTTAGTTGTTTCATCATGAGCAATTATTTTCGCTAGTGCGATTGAATCTATCTTTGTAACTAAAATTAAATTTAACTTTAGTAAGGAACGGGGAATGCACAACCCGCAGAGTGTTTTGTCTCAACACTGCGTGGCCTTTGAAATTTATTGTTGAATACCTAATTACCAGTTTTATCGTCTAGTGTATAATTTAGTCATTCTATTTATTTTCTTTCATTGTTTGTAAGTGTTAATTTTTTATTTGTGTTGTATGGATTCTATTGTCACAGAAATTAATGCAAACGGATTATTTTAGATGCGTGAATACTTACTGGGTTGTAGTTAATTTGTGCAGGCATCAGTTTTAACTGACAAGCCAGAATATCCTCATCGAACAGTCCCTGTAATTTGTTCTTTTCTCACTGTATCTTAATTTCAAATTCCTTGTTTTAATTCTACGTTTATCTAATTTTATTTAATTTTTTGTTGTAGAATAATTTCTCAAACTGGCCCAATCAAAAGGGAACTGTCCTTTATTCATGCCAATCAAGTTAGTTTCTCAAATTGATCAAAAATGAAGCAACTGGAATAATGAGTTGATAATGCAATAAAGCATTGCATATACATTGGCACGCATGAAGCTCTTTACGAGTATCACTGTTAATAATGACACTTATCAAGTATTACTGCCTCCAACTGCGTAGCCCTTTCGCAGCTTACAAACTTAAATTAAACTCTGGTACCTAATCAAGTGCGCTCTTGCCTTATACTTATTTACATTCATTCAAGAATCCAGCAGTAGTGGTATGTTCTTATGGCTAATAATCTAACTACTTATTTTTCCTCCCCCACCCCCATGTTTTCATCTTGTTTTTGTTTTTGCTAGTTGAGACCACTCAAAGGATCCAAAATTATTGTTTTAGATGATCGTTTCCATTACTGTGATAATAATTAGTAATTAGCTGAATTCTGTTGATCACATGAATCGAAGATGAATAAATTGTACAGATAGTTAGATTATTTTCAGTGATGTCCGTCGTGTACAGCCGACAATTTTAGTAAACGAATAATTGTAAATCAGACGGAACACTCTTGTAATTTTAGTTGTGCTTAGCCTCATTGTAGTAAATTTTGTTGACTTTATAGATGTTTATTTTTTATCCACCCTAAATCGTGTATCCTCCCACTTTCTTCTAATCTGAAATCCTTGTTAAGTTCATCAGGCCTGGCTTAACTTAATTTCAAAACGTTTAATCTATGAATTTTTATGTTTATCATAAAACATTTTTTTTATTGAATCATATTTGTACTTGCTACAAGAGATGGAATGACTAGTCATCCCTGGCTCCTGCCATTCATCCTTTAAAATGTCCAGTATTCATAGAGAGTCCAATCAGTTAATTTGGCTGCAGGCTTTTCGTTCCGAGTCTAGCACCGCCCTATTTTTAACTCAGTATTTTCTCTTTTTATGAGTTTCCAAAGGATGCACTAAAATTGGAGTTATTTTGCAATAATATCGCCAATTTGGTTTGATGAAGTAGCAATTTTTTTGTTTATAATTTTTTAAACGGAACGAATACTTTCTATAATTGAATTGGAACTTTTTGTTCCCGAAAATGCTCAGATTGTCAAAATGTATGTGTGTTTTGTTGCATTGATATTCTAGTATGTTTAAATTTTTTCTTTTCTTATTCTTTTTTACGAAAACAATTGAGGTCATAAAATGCGATTGTACCTCAGTATTTGTAATTTGAATGCATAAAGTTATCTAGCTGAACTTTGTCGCGTTTATTGTTTTTCATTTTTCTACTGGATCAAAATTAATTTTTCCGAGGAAAAAGAATGTATTGAAATCAGTGTATGTTCTTCAATTATGGTTTGAATGAAGCAAGGTTTTTGCGTATTATAACTAAGAATGTTTGTCAAAATTGAATTAACAGTAATTGTTGAACTGAATCCATTGTACATTAAAAATGTAATGTCACTTTCTAGTATGTCTTGTCAAATTTTTTGGCAGTCCTTTTCTGTGGCATTGCTTCTAGAATCACACAAGTGCATCACATCCGACCAATTTTCCTCATCTAATTTTGCATCATTGGGAAAAAGTACCTCGCTCAAAGTTTAAATGACAAGAATTCAGTGACTCACTTTAGTTTTCACCCATTAAGAAATTCTCAAGTTTTGCTCTATTCTTGTGACTGTAAAAGAATCCTTGTCATTTTAAGCTATTGGCTCTGTAAATTGTAGAGTCAACATATTAAGCAGCCACTGTATTTATTTTTTTCCCTGATTAGTGATTTTGCAATAAATTTTCGATGTTTGAAGTTGGATTACGTCTTTCAACAATTATTGACATCAGTTCTTCAATCATTTCTCCCATGTTTTATTGTCGAGGGAATGAGTGTTTCATTCAAATCCAGAAATGTCTACCTTGCTGAGTTGAGATTTTAATGAGTAAAACCTCAAATAATTTTTCAGTGAAACTTACTTCACCAAAGTTGAACGAGTTCAACCTTGCTAAATTCTCACTGTCACCAGCTATATTTTTCAATCACTCTCTTCCTTATTCTAATTTTACATTTGATTTTTCTCCCTTTTTCTCCTTCTTTTGTCTGTTTACTTGACAATGATCAAGTCAGTGCTGGGCCTGTTACTTGAGTGTCTGAATTATGCTTTTCATCTGTAAGTTAGTGAATTTTTAGATTATTATTTTGTTACCTTTTATATCCCTATCCTGTCAACATTACACCACTCTTCTTTGATGCAAGAGGACTAATTTCCCCCTTTTTCAGTGAATTATGAACATATCTATATTTTTGTGTGATATGTGATAATACATGAAAGTTCATTTCATCTGTTTAATTTATACAAAATATAATTATATTTTATGTTATTTCCTATTTTCTCATTTCTCAATCTCAAACCTCCTTTATCCATGAATCTTCATCGATTATTCATCATTTATCCCAACATATTCTCTCTAAGGTTCAGTAATACCTCTATTATCCCAAGAATTGTGGAGAAAACTCAAAAACGGAATTCGTAAAACGCCAAAATCCATATAAACATCTAAAACCACGTAAAATATACGTGAGAGATGTGTCAATGAATGCCCATACCTGTTCACGATTTAAGGAATGAATGAATGAAATAGATAGTGAAACTGTAAAAAATAAAATGGAGAATAAAGTCAGGGGAAAAAGAAATAGACTAAATGAAAATTTAAAATGAAAAGTTTACCAAACTGTCATGGAAAATTATATTCTCATGGCTTACAATTAAAGTAAGGATTTCTAGTTTTTACACTTGTCGCTTAAGGAGTCATACTATCTTACCTAACATCTGAATCGTTACCAATTTTCTTATACGCAAAATCAAATAATGGAACAGTGTAACTTACACTCGAGTGAGTTTCAAAGTATTTGCATGAAGTCAATGCTCCGCAATCCAATTTTTTTTGGGTTGGTTGTATAGGAGTGCATTTTTGCAACATATGAACATTTTCAGTGTAGCAGGAAAAAAAGAGTGCCCGATTTTTTAAAATGCACTCAATGAAAAATTTAAGACTGTTCCAAAATGAGTCATTTGAAAACTCAAAACATGTAGTTATTGACTCAATTTTTTGCATTTGACTACTTACTTCACCTTCGCAACCCCAATGACTTTTCTTTCCTTATTTGCCAAAGAAGATGATTGGTACGTCGATGGCGAAAGTGCAGAAGTGCGTAACTCGGAAAACACGATTTTCCAGAAGAGTAAAAAAAAACTGTCTACATTCCTCTTTATTGATAGAAGAGGTATAATAATTCTTGAGGCTAACAAGAGTAAGATTCTTTTTCAGACTCCATTAACATTTCCAATAATTTTTTGAACTGTTAGTAAATACGGCAGAAATGCCGAGATTCGCGTTTTCGGCACTAAAAATTGACACTTCATCACGAGATACGCATTTCTGCAATTAGTGTTTTAAACCTGTTGGTAGCGGATTTGGATCATTTGAAGACTGAAAAAAGAGTTTCACGCTTACGATTTCTTATCAGATAAGCTTCAGTTTGATCACATATGGCCAGATCAAGCATTTGAGTAAGTTGCGATCTTGTAAACGACGACTCTCTCAGTCTTTCATAATAGTGCGATGACCATAGCCAGAAGACTTAAATCAAAATCTCAACCGATCGTTTAGATCCTCTTTTTTAAAATAAGAATTACAGAAAAAAAAAGAAAAAAATCTTGGAAAATGCAATAATGTTCTTCAGTCATTTTTCAAAATTCCGGCTCGATTGAAGATTCCAAAATTCTGAACATTTCGGGTCAACATCGTTGTAGTACAGGGCCACTCAGATACGATACAGAAGAGCGCCTTCAACCCACTATGTAATCTTAATGCGAAATTCGGATACCACTATTAGTGCGTCACGACAGTCATTTTGCATAGCCGGCCAATTGAAGGCAAATTATAGATCCAGGCAACGGGGCACGAATTTCAGCAATGTGATACGTGTTTTTTCGGGAACAAAACCTTCGGGGGTGCTCCACCTGACATCCAAGAAACCCAACCTGCAGAATTGCCGTTTGTTCTTAATTTCTAGAATATCCTTAATATATTTGTACGGTGTGTTCCAATTACATCTACTTTTTAACATAAATCTATTATTTTACCTTTGGACCGCGTTTAACAGAAAGGAACCAAGCCACATCAGCTATTGCCAAATTTAACTGGGCAATTTAATTTTTTACGAGAGAACGTGTGTATGGATTCCTTTAAATATGTTGAGGCATTTGCTTCGTATACTATGTAGAAAATCCACTGAAATTTGCACGAAAATCCACTGTTTTCTTGTAAAAAATTAAATTGCCCGATTAAATTTGGCAATAGCTGATGTGGCTTGGTTCCTTTCTGTTTAACGCAGTCCATTTATCTATATTTTGTTTTATTTTTGTGTGTCATGGTGCACCTTTCAAAATGTTTCCATCTTTCACATCACTGCTTTTCCTGAAAAATTCTCACGTCATTTTGAAAAACAAGAACTATCTTCTCAATTAGTTTTCTTGGCAGTGTGTTTTATCGTTGAGTGAGATCTTGATTTTGAGCAACATACAATGCGAATCAATTTATAAATCAAGAAAAGGACGAGGGCAATGAAAGCGATCACATCCAGTAGGAGGTATTGGTAGAAAGATAACTTGACAGAAGCTGGCCTCAGATGGGGGGCCCCATTGTGTCGGACCACGTATTCCACCCAGTAGACGGCCGTGTCCAGAGGACTGAGGGGTCGATCTCTTGTCCGCCAGGAAACCTTCTTTGCGTTCTCTTTGTAGCTGTGGAGAAAATTTCGATGACATTTATGTTACATTATTGAAACATTTTTCAAAACCTGTAAGAATCTAAGAGTCGCAGTAGTTGTTNGGGGGGGGGGGGGTAGCTTTTAAGGTTAGCACTGCACACTATCTATCTATTATCTATCATAAGTTTTTGCAACAACGTCAATTTGATGAGCAGTCCCTGAGGTTTTGGCCTCTAGAGCTGCACTTGGTACAGGGTACCCAAGAGTAGATGCGTTAGTCAAGGCGCCTTAAATTATATTTAAGTTATCCTGAAATTGCTTTTTTTGCGCCAGAGCCCGTTTAACTTGTGGAAACGCTAGAAAAATAATCGGCAGTCTGCGCATATCCACTTGAATCGGTAAGTTAAAATTGCATACGCACTGCCAAACACTCTTTAAAAAGTTTCCCTGGCAAAAATTGGCGATAGGAGCTGCGTTTCAAAATACCATAGGAGTTCAAATAGCCGACTGAAGAAGGCGATAGAAAATCATATAGCTGGCTGTAGAAAGTGGAAAAAATCATACGGCCGGGCTACACGAAGCGATAAAAAATTGTACAGCCGGGCTATAGTTCCTATCACCGGGCTTTACACTTTATCGCCTGGCTGTTGCTTTTTCTTCATCGGCTATAAAAGGCTATAAGAAATTTTGTAGGAATTCGTGTGCTTTGAAAATGCTTAAGTTTGTACGGAATCACCTTAAAATTTACAAAACGCACATTATATTTTCCTTTACTGCATATTTTTTTTCATCAATTAAAATGAGAATAATCCATACAGAGTGTGCAAACATTTCAAAGTCATGAGTTCTGAAACGCTCACTCCACGAGATTAATTATTAGAGCCTAACACAAAGCGGAGCGGCGGCGCATTGGCGCCTACAAACCTAACAGGGATACTTCACGCATTGCGCAATGCGTGAAGTATCCCTGTTAGGTTTGAAGGCAATGCGTGAAGTATCCCTGTTAGGTTTGAAGGCGCCAATGCGCGTCTCGCGCTGGCTGCCCGCCCGCCGCGCCGCAGCGTACCACGGCGCTTGAAGCAACTATTCCACACCTGATGTATTGCGCAGTATCATACGAAATTGCAGGCGCTCCCACATGTTAGGAATGGCAGGCATCCTTCAAAAGTACGGAGCTTTCCTCGCAAAATAAATCAAGATACTACGGCCCAAAAAGAGAGCGGTAGTCAAAAAACTCACTATACCTAAGTCCTAGCATCCGTAATTAGTAACGTTTAGCATACATTTTATCGCCAGGCTGTTCATCGGCTATAAAAGGCCATAAGAAATTGTGTTGCCGGCTATAGAAGCTATTGGAAATCTTACAGCCGGCTGTAGATCTATGGTATTTTGGAACACAGATTCTACTGCCAATTTTTACTAGGGTTATAAGTGGGAAATGAGTTATTAATTAAACCCTTTTGAACTTGAGAGGTAGAACGTTAATAGAAAGAAAGAAGCCAAAAAAAACCCCGAACAAAAATGAATCCCATGACAAGATACGAATTGAAGCAGTCCACCACATATTTCCTGGTTCCTTATAATTTCATATAGAACAAGATCCAGGCACCAAAAATAACTGAAATAAATTCCTAACCGAGATTTTTATTGTTTTTTGATGCCTGAATTCAAAAACCTGCGTTCTGCGACCCTTACCCAAGTATCAGTGACCGCGATGTGTTGCAATTTGACCGGATAATTATCGCGATTTTATCAACGTAGATTTATTGCAATGTTATCGGATAAATTGCGCGATAAACTGAGGATTCATAGTACAAATCGCAGTAAATTCGAGGTTTCATCGACGGTGATTTATAGCAATATTATCGAACAACAAATCGTGATAAATCGATATAAAATTTCTATATTATCGAGCACGATTTTATAGTGATAAACTTGCATGAGATTTAGGATAATCTTTCAGATGTTAATGATCCTAGTGATTTTATTGCAAAAAAAAAAAATCGTATATAAGTTGCAACTTACTTGCATGTATCTCGATTTTTCCGTTGGAAAATGTCATTTGGGTTAAGGGTGATAAGCTACGACACGTTGAGTTAAGATGATTCGACAGTTGCCATTTTTTGGCCAGAATGACGTGCGATACATCGCATCAATTCGTTCCATAATTTCAGTTACTTGTCATTTCTCGAATATTTAAATCGCACTGCAGTTTCACATCGAGTGCAGTTTCGATATCAGTATCGAATGCGATATTTTTCCTCTGAAATAACCCTGCCTATAATACGTTGAATTTCTCTGTCAAATTTGGTACATGAATTCTTTAGTCTCGTGACAACAGAAAAATTCGAAAAAAATGACAAGTACCTATAGCTGAAATTATGGAGTGAATTGATGCGATATATCGCACGTCGCTCTGACACAAAAAATGGCAACCGTCGAATCACCTTAAAAACGAAATAAACCTAAAAAAATGCAGTAATGCTGAGCACGGTTCCGGATAATAAGGACGGACCATCGAAGGTAGATACTTACGAGGGTGTGTTAATCATATGGAGTATAGATTTGTAGAGATGGTCACCCGATAGCTCACTCAGAAGAAAGCCTATGCCCATGCCGTACGTCTCGTAGAGACGGATATTGCGGAACTGATCGGCGACCACAGGGATGCCCAGCACAGGGACACCCGCTTGGGCCGCCTCGATCAGGCTGTTGTACCCTCCGTGGGTCACGAACAGAACCAAATTTGGATGTGCTGAAACCCAAGTAATCGAAAAATCTATCAGACGCCGTATTTGTATAAAATGGGCATTTTATGAATGTCGACGGCGTAAGTCCGCAATCACATATCTCGTTTGTGGTGTCTGAAAATCTTCGCCTCTATGTTATTACTTTAAAGGAGAACTAATTGACATCATCTTTTGAAGTTTTTGCAGAATTTTCCTCGCACAGAGAAGAAAAATCAGGGCAGATTTAAAGAGTTGCCTTTGAGTACTTTTCCGTTTTTTAAAATAAAGTATGACAGGAAGTCTGCTTCGTCGCAGACCGAGTTATGTGATTGCCGACTTACACAACGGTGCAATATTTAGCTAATATATATCGTTCGTTCTATTTTATTTTAATGTAACCAAAGAAAAAAAAAATTAAATATCACCCGAGTTTATGAATCGTTACAACAAGAAAACTTATTTTTCCTTTAATTATGGTGAAAACTGGAGCAGAAAGTCAAGAATGATGTCACGCAGTCCTACAGCCTTTTGTGCTCTTTTATGTGTTTCACGCCAACTCAACGACTGCACTGGTTTTGGCGCAATGCAAGAAGTATTCATGCAGCCTTGTAGGCGCCAATATGGGCGTTACACCAACCGCACTGTTTGGCGCAATGCGTGAAGTATTCCAAAAGCCTTGCAGGCGCTAATATGCGTTTAACGCCGGCCGCATTCGAACTCGCGTGAGAATAATCGCGGCATCGAATAATAGAAGGCCCATGTTGTGTTTCGACACCGTATAAGCATTCCAACGTTGCCTAGTATCCTCCGATTAAATATTCTTTCCGAGAAAAGTTAGGAAAGTACTTAACACCCACGACTATTATTCAATCTTTCCACTTTATTTATTATCAGAAGGCAAGACATCGATAACATGCCAACGAACTAACCTAAACTAGCGTTAACATAAAAATGCGTTTATTTCCCAAACATTTCCTGCTTTGCCAAATTAACTTCATTTTAAATTCGCGCATCCGTATAGCAGGTGTTAAGGTTTCTATTCGCGCAATCTTTGTCCCTTTTTCGCGCAATCTTCATGTATTTTCTTAGACCTCTCGCGCAATCCTGGATTATCGCTCCATCAGTCGGCCCAGCCCAATCTAGCTCAAAAACCATTGCCGTCTAAGAAAGTACCTTTTGGCTCAAGAATCAGAAGTACAACACAACTTAAAGATTATATTCTATACTGGAGATGCGTTTTACTGACCTAATATTTCTTGTTGCGGGGCAAATGGCAATGTCAGGACATTTTTGGCATCCTTAAAAGGTTCCGGGTCCTTCCATTTGATAATGACACGCTGTTTGAGTCTTGAAAGAGCATCAACGATTGCAAGTAACCGAGCCTCTCCGAGCATGTCTTCTTTGATAACGGTGCCGAAACTTACGTAAATCACACCATTCTTGGCTCCATCCATAAAATCTTGCAAGTTCTGTAAAATTTAAATTTAGATTCAAAACTGCAGAACTCTAAACAGAATACAATGTTTCTTGGTTAAGTAAAAACAAAGACGAATCTATCATGAAGAAGTTTCAAATTTGTGTTTTTACTTAAGGAATTCAACCAACAGTTTTTCATTCGTAAAAAAATATTCACAAAAATTTCAAGGAAAAATTCCTGTTGGAATAACAGAGGTATTCATCGATTGGAGTTATTTGGAATCCACTTTATCACCGTTAATAAAATATTTAATTTACTTCCTCTAAGTAGGTGTGAATATTTAGAATTCGCTGAGAAAGTTACTCAGCCACTTTTGATCGTATACTGACCTTGGGCAGTTTTTTGATCGGTTTCAAATGCATTCCAGCGACGTCGATCATGTTCGGTGGGTAGGGTCGCGGGTATCCGATGGAAAAATGACTATTGAGCAAGAGTAGAGACACGTTCTTGGCCATTTCCCGTAGCGGAGGCATGTTTTCTGATCCTGGATAGACGAAGTGCTTCCGCAGCATCTTCTCCTGGGCTGGCAGGAAGTACCAATGGTATCCTGCCAGTTCCCACAAACCAACCACGGTGTTTTCCAGCCTTTCCATGAAGCTCATGGAGTCGCTCAAAGGTAGCATTCCATCAGGAATGTAAGAGAATGAGAACGGGGCACCTGTGCGAAAAGAACCATCAATGATGGTACGTGAAATGAAGTTGCTATTGTAAATGAGAACTTACCTTACTTGCAGTGAATACGAAAATATGGGTATCTCCTTCTTAATTATTGGACGTATTTATGCTAAATGGAAATCTGAGCATGTGGAAAGATGGGGTGTGCTCGTTAGTGATCGGGCCATAAGAATGAATGGGAAATATGAAGCGCCAGTGACGTCAGTGGCAACGACCGAGGTCGGGCACGACGGGGAGATCGGTGGCCGGACTTTTTAACTCATGAGCCCTGTCCACAAGGCTCTTGTCACATGCCCACGGCTCACGAGCTAGCGCTCAGTTTCTTTTGATTTAATGTAGAATCCCGCTTTTCCATTTTCTCAAAAGGAACTATATCCACTTTTACATTGTATCTTATGCAGCTTGCACGAGCACATCCCATCTTTCCACTTGCACATAGTTTCTTTTAGCATAATTTTAGTTCAATTCAGGATTAGGCGCTCTTTGTCCCTCAGTGATGTCACGTCGAGGAAGTCTGCAATGTCACAAACTGAGATGTACGTGCGGTTTGGGAGTTTCACCGTAGATAGGTGTCAATACATGCTACCTCATTTTAAGTGAAAATTAAATTGAAGCAGGAAATCAATATTTCACGCACTGAAAAATATTTAAAAAGTTCGGTTACAGGACATTTCGTCAACGATTTTTTTGTCCGCGCACCTGTTTTCTCCAGTAATTTACTGCCACGCGTTTTTTCGGCACGAGAGTTTTGGTTCACGTACCAGTTGAGACCCAAAGCTAACTGGCCCACATGTAAATACAAACGACAATTGCTCTCGATGTTTTTGGATGAAAATGTATAATGTCTTGGAAGAATGAGGGTTTGCTTGTTTTTTTGTTTTGTCTGTTTGGTCCAACGGAGAATAATACATAGTTGAGAGTTTTGGTAAAAATGGGGGAGCGTCAATTCCATGAGACAAAATTCACTAAAACTCTCTACACCTCTTTGGTGTAACAGGACTTACTTATCTTTCAAGAAATTCCCACCTTGTTATACCTGAACCGGATGAACCTCTATATTTGCCTCAGCTAAAGGCTCTTGGATTTTGCCTGTGTACGATAAGTATCTTGATTTATTTTGCGAGGAAAGATCTGTACTTTTAAAGGATGCCTGTCATTCTTAATACGTTCAATTTCGTATAATACTGTGCAACACCTCTGTTGTGAAATAGTTGCTTCAGACGCCGCCGCACGGCGGGCGGGCAGCCAGCGCAAAACGCGCATTGGCGCCTACAAACCTAAGTGGATACTTCAAGCATTGTGCAATGCGTGAAGTATCCACTTAGGTTTGTAGGTGCCAGTGAGCTTCTCGCGTTGGCAGCACGCCCTGCACGCCGCTCCGCTCTGTTAGGCTTTAATATTTATACTCGCATAGTCAGCGCTTTTTAACTCATGATTTTGAAATGTCTGCACACTCTATATTGATTATTCTCATTTAAATTGATGGGGAAAAATATGTATCAATTTATCAAAGGAGAATAATATTATAATGTGCGTTTTTTTTAAATATTGGTGGTTCCGTGTCAAAATTAATGATTTCCAAAGCACTTTAATTTTTTCTGTTTTATTTTATGCTTTTATTGTGCTGCAGCGAGGTGTACGCGCAACCAAACGCTCAAAATTTGACGTATTTGACTCTAAAAGATCGATGTACAAATGGGTTAAAACTAAAGATTGCGTGCTTCTGGGTTTTTTTTCCTCTTCTATTCATTTTTGCAGTTTCTGTCGGCACAACTGCGGCTCATTGATATTAATGTCACTTGGAAAAGGTTTTACAAATATTTACAACGTTTTACAAATATAAATTTTTTCAAAATGAAGTAATAATTTCGTTAAGAAAAAATTAAGAAAATAAAAAAAGTACCTTTACACATACAAGATATATTGTACATCGAATATTTGAAGGATAGAAATAAAACCAAATATTCACGAAAGACGATTTAAAAAGATGATTCAAAAGGAGAAAGTAATAACATTTCATTTAGAAAATGAGCAACCATAACAACACCACTTTCTCTCTCAATTTCTCATTTCCATATATTGTCAATATAATTTTACATACCGACTAAAATACAACGCTTGGACCAAGTCACTGTTGCTTATTTTACGTGTGGATACTGGACAAAAAAGGTGCGCGGACAAAAACTCGTTGACAAAATGTCCTGAAACCAAAAGTTAAGCATACACTGAAAGCGCCGTTGCTCCTTTAATGGCCCGCACATTCAGTACAGCTAGCCGTCAATAGAAATTATTTCCAGCATCTCGTCCAATGACAAAAGTAAGATGTACAGTAAAAGAAATCGATGGCTTTTCCAAACATCTTATTGGTCAGTGGTATGATACCTGTACGTATAGTTATTCGCTTCTAAGACCAATTATTTTTACTTGCTCTTACCCGACGAAAGCTACTTCAAGACAACGCTTGACCTGCTGCAATGCTGCCGTGCTAAGGAAGAACGCCGTATGAGCCTTCGTGCGTTGCCAAATTTCTTTTGGTAAAATTCGAATTTTCATAAAAACTTGTGAAAATTTCCCGTCCAATTTTCCAGAGAATTTTCTTCGCACTCTCATCTAGATTATCAGAAAATTTAAAGTAGAAACATTCATTATTTGTCTCAAAAATAAATATGTTTAAAGGGGAAATTTGACAATTCTAGGATGTTCATACGGCGTTTTTCCTTGGCACGGCAGAATGAATCACTAGACAACGCACGAAGTTAAGTATTCTAATACTTATTCTAATTCGTAGATCACGATTCGCACAAGGTAAAATACTGAATTTAACTGCCAGCCCAAATATTATACGTTTCTTGACGCGTGAATTCAAATCTTCCACTCATGATGACGCAATGGCGAGTCAAATCGTACATTGAACGTTACCCTGGCAATCTCAGCGATACAGTAATATGGCAACCTCAATCTTGACGCTTTGGCTCAGCTATAGCAAATTGTTTGAATGATAAAGAGTGGGAAAGGAATAATGCTCGATTGAGAAGACTGCCAAAACCATTGTGAGGCACGATTTGACTTACGCAGAGTATTGCGTTTCTTGTGACCGAACAATACATTTTTTCCGTAACCAGTGTAAAATAAAAACGTTAATATATTAGTTATGAGTTGGTTTCTGTAATTTTTGATGCGAGAATCGTGCTTTACGGGAAATTTGGTTAATGAAGAAACATGTATCAGAATGCTTAAATTTGTACCTATTCGAGTGGTCAATTTTTCCCGCTTAACGGTCGAGCGTGTTGTATCGACAAGAAATGAAGGCACTTTGGCAAGGATTCACCACGATAGCCATATATGGATTGCATTTTGCAAAAAGGAACGAGGAGAATTGCAATGATGCTAAAATTGTGAAACTTTATCCTTTGCAATAAAATTACGGAAATCGTGAAAAAGTATGAAATTTAGATGGTAATTTATGTCTTAAATTTACAGTTTCTAGCGAGTAAAATAGAAACTATTAATGGATAATCAGGTTTTTCCGCCAAGACAAAAGAAGCTGCACAATCTTAGCAACATTGCAATGCTCGCGGTTCCTTTTTGCAAAATGCGATCCATTTAGCATTCAATACAAATAGACTGTTTTACCCATGTTACTGGCGATGCTAATCATAACGGAAGCAGCGGATAGGTCTATGACAGGAGCAGAGAACTTGTGGCCGAAAGCAAGAATGCACGGCATAAAGAACGTAACTTCCCCCAAGACAACGTCATAACGCTCCTTCGACGCAATTAGCTCGCGGAACGGTTCCGAAGCGTACAACAATTCAGCGACGGTGTTGAAAATAGGGAAGAGGATAGCTCGCATCATAAGAGGGTTCAGTGTCCCCATCTCTGTCACATTCACGTCTGAAACAACCAATCACCAAATGGATGACTTAGACTGACATTGCGTTTATAAAGAGAATTGTCAAGTTTAGCGAACATTGCACTTTTGCACAATGTCCAAAAGGTTGTGGCACTTTAAATTTTTCGATATATGGAATGTAGCCAAATGCCAGAAATATTGTAACATTTTTTGAAAAACTTACATTTTATTCATAAAATTTTACCGAAGCTTTCCAAAGCACGCGCTTCATCGTCAGGGTCAAAGTGTTGATTACAAAGGCGATAATTTAATTTTAGACAGTGGTAACAATTGATACAACATTGACAATTAATACAGCATGACAATTGATTCGGATCTGTTAATTGTTATCAATTTTTACCACCGTCTAAAATTAAGTTATGGTCTTTGTAATTAATACTTTGTGACCCTGAGTGCTTTCTGGCTCTCTTCGACACCTAGCCTCCAAAGTCCCCTATCCTCTCGATGCCCCTCAGGGAGTTAGCACACCCTCATTTCATCTAAAACCCCCTGTCGCCACCCTTTCACAAGGCGTTCCCTTCGTCTCCTCCCAGGAGGAACCCATGCAATCAAGCATCTTACATAATTCAAGCGTCAACTTACAAGAGTCTTACATGAGCTTTTCAAAAAGTATCTTGGAAATACCTTGCTTCATAAAATCATCGAACGGTTTGGTGTCCAAGACAATTTCCTTGTAACTGGCCTCCTTATTCGGGAAATGCGTCAGAACCGTGACGTCATGACCTTTGCGAGCGAGCTCTTCAGCGAGAACACTCAGGGCTCCGAAATGACTTTTTCCGGGGAACGGAAACAAGAAAAGAGCCTTGAAACAATCGGCACCCCGGAGGACGGTGAGGAAGAGTAAAACTTTACAGTTGTATCTTGACCTTTTCCACTGCATCTTGATGTCAGCAGGAGGATGGAGCTGTTGAGTGCTTCAGTTGAGGATTTTTGCCTGGAATGGATATGGATTACTGGAACTAAAAAAAAAAAAGACAGATCACTAGATTTGTCATGACGAATCTTCAGGACTCGCAGTCGCGTACCTAGACATTATCATGGGGGTTGGGGATCTAAAATTAACCCTTTGTTGCATAGCGTTGCATGAAAGCAACAAATGTTTTCTTGGCTTTGATTCTTTTGTGCCTTTCTCTCTCATTCTTTCTTTTGATTAAATTGCGCCAGAGCAACACATGGTTTTTTGAAAGGTGTGGGTCTAATCTCCAAACTTTCCAAAAAAAAAAAAAAACTGTACAATGCAGATTTTTTCTCTGAAATCGGTGACTGACTCATGAAACGAAAGGTAGATGATTTAATAATCGAAGTTCAAGGGTCGGAATTTTCGGAGTATTCAAGGGTAAATAACCCTGAATATCATGGAAAATTAGATTTTTGTAGACATTTTTGGCTCTAGGGTGGAAAGGAACCAGACACCCTGGACCTCCTCCTCTGCGGCTTCGCCATTGACTCGAACTGTAGCGCCATGCTAAGAAAAAAAAAACCGTATGAACATCTGTCAGATGCCAAATTTCCTATCATTATGCACGAATTTTCAGGACAACTCGTGGATATTTTACCTTTAAGTTTACAGTGGATTTTCTCCGTACTTAGACCTAAATTATTAAACATTTCAATAGAAAATATTCATAAATCTCCTCAAAAATTAATATTTCATTGTAGAGAATTTGGCAACTTTCATATTTTCTTACGGCATTTTTCCTTAGCACGGTAGCGTAGTGTAAACACTTTCCGCGCTGAAAACGCCTCTGTAATGTTTTGATTTTTTAGACTATGTTTATGGAGCCCAAACTTTTGGAAAATTGCTTGAAAAGTTTCGGACCAAGAATCGGAACTTTAGTTTCCATTTCTACATTGTACCTCCTATGAAAATGCTCCCACAGGCTCCAGAAATTGAAATCGGAAGTTGAAGGAATTAAGTGAAATGACCTCGGATCGATCAATCATCAGCATTTGCTGGCGGCCATAATTGCAGCCGTTTCTTCGCGTGTATAAATTCTGAAAGCTTGAACTGCTATCGGTTTCTGGAGTCCAGAATTTAGACTGTAATATTCATCCTTGAAATCTCGATTTTAAATTCTGAATTCTAAGGTATGCTTCTAGGATTTCACAGTGATTGAACTCTCCTGAAAAAAGTCTGTTAGTGTGAAGTTTTACTCTTGTCCAGACGTGACTTTGGTCGTTCCAGAGATAAAAAAAGAGAAAAAGAACTTCAATGATTGAATGTACATTTTTGAAGAAAGCTATTTTGTCGAGCTTGATTTAAAAAGCGGAATATGATTTTCTGATCCGAATCCCTTACCGAAATCTTCGAGGGGGAGGGAATAGAAGTTACAGCAAGTTTTTTTCGTCGTTTCTCTTACGAAATAACAAAACTCTATTTTAATGTTGCCAAATTTCCCCGCGCAAATGGCCCTTTGACTAGGAGGGTTTTGGGAATTTCCAATTGAAAATATTAGATATTTTTCTTTTGATCTCATACAAAAATTCAACAAAAAACGACATTTCAGGTTTGAATCCATTTTCGCACCAAGCTTGGAAGAAAAATTACCTTCACTTCGAATTTTAGATGTAATCATCGTACAGTTGCACTAAAGTGCAGTTTCTTGCAGTATGAGGTTCCTTCTCCCGTGAATGATTGTTTTGAGGACCTCTCCGACCTATTCGCATGTGCCCCTGTTGCCAAGATTGTGCATCTTCTCGATTATTTAGCTTCAAGAGAAATATACGCACATCCTTGTTATTCACCTCGTATTTTCTCCATATTTGTCTTAATAGAACAACGGTAGTACAACTTAAATGCACTTTTGGGTGCCTGAATAGGAAGACTTACATAATCTTATTGACGTCGTTGTAGATACTTATGCTGTTTAGTCCGAAGGATCCTCATTTGTGACCATTCACGGAAAAAGTGACCTCAACCCGAACTAAATTCAAATTTGAGAAATTAGTGCCATTGTCATATTCAACGAATGCCTTTATTTTTCGTGCATTTTTTCCCCCGTCACAGTCCAAAAGTGTTCATAAACACATGAGATTTGCAGTTCAAATACGTATTTTCAGGAAAAAATCATTTTGTGTTTTAGTTTACTGTGATAATAACAATTGGTGCAGGATTGATTTGCAATTTTACAGCGTTTGTTGGTGCCAAAACGTATTATATCACTCTCAACTTACATTTTTGGACTAGACCACTAGAGCATTCCCCTTAATACATTAACTCCGATTGATCAACTTACTTGGCAGAAACTCTCTCGAAAAAAATTTAATTCCGTTTAATAAGGTCCATTTGTTTGTGGACGACGACAGATACATCCATTACATGAGCAGGTGGAAGGTGACGTCACGTTATCCGGTATACCCTGACCACACTAAACAAACACACACACGCAAATTGTCGTATTTACTTGAGACGCACAGTACGAAGTGCGAAGCAATACGCAACACAGTAGCTAGGTCAAGGTATCGACGGACTGCCTCGCTCTTCACTTCAACATTGTGGATCTCGCTCTCTACCGAGGCTCTTCACAACGAGTGCATGTGATGCAATTCTCTTGTGATTTAACTCCTATTAGAATAAAAGGTAGGAGGCCCGCGGCTATCGCGAGACTATCGACAAGGCTTCACAACTTCTGGTCTGCCATTTTGTTTCTCGGTCTGTTTCAAATTGTATCTTCTCATTTTTGTACCAGGCGGCTAAACCTCATATCCCCTCCCTTAGAAACCAGAGCCCCAGAGGTCGTTCCACGCCCTCATTATTAAAAAATCTGGGACATACTGCAAAATTTAATCCGTTCACTACTTTTGTCCATTATAAAAATGGGCGTACATTTTGGATGCTTAAAAATCACGAGCAAAATGAATGTTTTTTAAAAAAGGAGCATTAGCACGAACAATTTTCATTGCTGTATCTGAGAGAGCTTAGGGAGGTGATTTCGCATTATTTTTCATTACTAAGTCGTAGCAATATAGATGCAAAAGAGTGTAATTCTGCCTTTTCCCTCGGTGTTTGAGGTTTTCAGCGTTATGCAGATTTTTAACGCACGTTGGCTAGAAAATTCCAACTTACTGTCGATATTAATCTCAAAAAGCGGTAGTTGTGTTGAAAAAGACTGTAAAAAAATGAATAAAGGGGGGGGGGCAAGAAGCACGCAATCTTTTGTTTTAACCCATTTTTACATTCTTCTTTTAGAGCCAAATACGTCCAATTTTGAGCATTTGGTTGCGCGCACACTGCACTGTGGTACAGTAAAAGCACAAACTATAAAAGAAAAAATTAAAGAGCTTTGTGAATCATTAAAGTTGACACGGAACCACCTTCATATTTACAAAACTTACATTATATTTTCCTTTAATACGTATTTCTTTCCATCAATTTAAATGAGAATAATCCATGCAGAGTGTGGAAACATTTCAAAATCATGAGTTTAAAAACACTGACTCCGCGAGTTTAAATATTAGAGCCTAACACAGCGCGCGTGTCACGTTGGTTGCCCTCGCCCGCTGCGGCGCTTTCAAGCAACTATTTCACAACGGAGGTGTTGCACAGTATCAAACGAAATTGAAGGCGCTCTAACATGTTAAGAATGGCAGGCATCCTTTAAGAGTACGGAGCATTCCTCGCAACGTAATATACCACCTTGTGACGACATCTGGCGGCATTTTCTATTTAAGCGTATGTATTTAAGCAGACTCAAGTATTTTGTCATAACTCGTTTGGTAAGTATTCAATTTAGAACCAAGGCTATTTTCGTGATCAGTTCTCTTAGTAATTTCAAAAATAAAATTCGCCAAATAGACACCTGCAAATGCTTCATTCAATGGGTGAGAACTGGACGTCGGTTTCAGTGATTTGCTGGAAGGAAAACACCGCAGGTTAGAAAATCAGTATTTACTTTATTTTTGACACGAACATTTACTATGAACAAAAAAAGGAGAAGATAAAATAGAAAGGTAGAAATAACTCAAAAACTGAAGGAAGTCAATTAAATACAGAGGATGAAAAGGCAGGCAAAAATAACACTAAGATTATAATTGATAGGGTGAATTCGAGTAAAACCATTTGTTCTTTAAATTACACGGGCTAAGAAAGATAAATAAAGTCACTTCATTGTAGAAAAATAAAAACATTCAACTTTACGTGATCACTTCGGGATTTTACAAATATTTACAAAAGGAATTATTATTTTAATACATCTTATGTTAAATACTAGTGAAAGTCACACGGTGACATTAGAGTCTTGAGCATTGTTTGAGTTTAAAAACTCAGACTGAATTACAATGTTTGAATGACAGTTTTGCAACTAATAACAATGTATAATTTTTTCAGGGTTAACTTTCGCTAACGTACGCCCAAAAATAATTCTGAGCAGCGTGCACTGCTTTACGAAAATCGACAAATTCGACTCAGGAATCATCAATTTTTGCACTTGTCCAGAAAAGTTCTCTCTTTGTTGCCCATCAGAATAATTACGTCAAACTGCAAAAAAAAACACTCACATTTCCGGTGCACTTTAATCACTGAAAATGTTTGGTGATTTTACCGCATTCTTGGTAAGAATATAGAACATTCCAAGGATGGAATGTTTTAAGCAGCAATATTCATCAAAAATTCAACAAACGAGCCATTAGATGGCACTGGGGAGAAACAATAATCACATGATGCATTTAGATGTATCGAAAAGTCAAAGGATACGCATAAAAATATGATTCCAAACCCTCAGTGAACTTTTCGTTTGATTTCATCCAGAATGAAATGGAGCGATTTGTACACAACCTCATGATCTTATGCCTCACAAAATTGATCCGAATATACTTACACACTCCAACAATATCGTTTCAATCACATTGAAAATTGAAATTATCATCATGCATGTAAGCATCCTATCTTGTGCCAGACACATAATCATAGTGATTCTTTAGAAATAAATAATTATATCGAACGAACCTTTCAAAGCTTCTTCAAGATTCGAAACGAGCAGTTATGATCTCGATTTACTAGTCAATATTATATACAAAACTAGCAATTTTGAACTCTTTAAATACATCAATTATTCTTTCTTTGGGTTAACAATTTAAAATTACAGCTTAAAAATAAATATCCCAAGAGAGAGTATCAATCTTGAGCATTTTAATTTTAATTTACAAAAGGCTCGGATTCGTCGTCTGAAAAAGTTCCAGTTACAACTTACGAAAGATCAGTGATAGAAAAATTAGCAATTTCGATGGTCCAAATTTGGAAGGTATCATTTTATAAAAGCTAGGATCTTCGTTATTTCGGTTCCTCCATTCTCTTATAGGAAGCCATAAGAGAATGGAAGGTTACAATCATGATCTAGAACAATTTTAAGCCATTGTTAGGGAAATGACAGAAAGGAAAGAAACGTCAAGCAGCGTTCATATCCCAGAACTCTTTAATTTTATGTAACTAACAAAACTTTCAATTCCGTTTGTACAATCTACATGAATCGTCAAATTTACATTAGGTCACAGATTTCTAGCGCGTAGAACGGCTTCCACGAATTTCTATGAACGAAATTAATGGAGAAAGCGATGGAACAAAAAGGATAAACAGAAAATTGAGCGATAGCAAGTGGTTGCAATGGACAAATGAGGTAATTAATCACCTATAACGGCAACTAATTAGAGATCCTATATAGTGTTGGTCCATTTCCCCCTTAGTTAAAAACACCCAGCCGTTCCAACCATTGGGATCGCTCCATTCTTCTTTTGCACTCTTAGTCTATCGCTTTATCTATCAATTTCAATAACAAGCCCGCTGGAGCCTCCCAATGGGAAGAGGATCTGATCATGAAACAACTAGACTTTATTTTGCATTTGAAATCTACAATCTCTGGCTCGGTTTAGAAACTAAGTATGTACCATTTTCCAATTAGGAAATACAATTTCTTTCGCAGCTTGGGAAAAAATGTGTGCACCATTAGTTATCTTAAGCACTTAAGTGCTTTTTGCAGATGAGCCAAAAATTGATGTTATTTATTGCAAAGTGTAGTCAATTTGTTATCCTATACGTGCATGTGTTTACGGACGAGCCACAAATGGATCGAGTTCATCAGAAAGGAACCAACCCACACCAAGTTGAACTTGAAACTAAGAAAAGGAGATTTGAAGTTTTATTTCTGCATAAAGCTCAGAGAACGAGGGGCGTTCAATATGTAAGTATCCCCCCATTCTAAAATCTATAAAAATGGACAAATTTTTTTAAAAAAACTTGTGCTTGAAATCTTTCTTAAGATATACTGAGTTCAACAAAAGAAACCGCAACAAAATCGGACCATATGCGGCCAAATTCGAGCTGTTCGAACGCGCAAAGGCGCGCGCCTCTCCTGCCGACTCCGGACCTAACCTAACTACATGTGAAAAAGACTACCTCCGGACTGACTGTTTTTCGAAACCCATGATGGTAGGGCCTTATCATCAATAGACATTTCATATGATCTTGTAACATGTGTTCATCGTGATTTTATGATCAATGTAGAATGTTTGGCACACTCCCAAGGAAAATCCAAATCATTACCTCAGAAAGGTAATAACAGAACACCTAGCTGCGATGGATACCGATCCGGCGGGAACGGCGCGCACCTAGGCGCGTTCAAACAGCTTGCGTTCAGCCGCACATGGTCTGATTTTGTTGCGGTTTCTTTTGTTGAACTCAGTATATCCTAAGAATGATTTCGAGCCCAAGTTTCTTTAAAAATTGGTTTATTTTTATAGATTTTAGAAAGGGGGGGGGTACTTACTTCTTGAACGCCCCTCGTAGAAAAGAATAACTTTAACCCCTCTTTCCACAAACTGATTTCTGTTTTTCAACTTTCAGGTTTTGGCTAGTAGAACTCAAAAACATTCTTAACTCAATTTTTTCGATAATGTGGGCTGGTTTCTCTCTGACAGACTCACAAGGGGAACTTACGGACCTGCCGCCTCCGATTGGGCTGAATTTTTTTTTACAGACTCTATGGACCAATTCTAGAGGTCAATTTTGAGCCGTTTCCCCGAATGCGCAATAGGAAGGGCGTAAAAAATTCCCAAAAGTTGCGTTTTCGGCGTGTGATTTGGTCGTGCGGCGCGTGGCAACACTGAAGCAGCCTCTAGTACCGCTTTATCGGCCGGAAGGTTTCAGCGAAGTCCGGAGCCCTACTGCACACGTACTGGTTCCATGATAGTGATGTCCCGGGTTCGTTCCTCGACTTTTTATTTTCCGCATGATCACGTAACATTTTATTTTTAATTCTTCATCCGCATTTATAAATCAAGCAGTTCCGATCACTATCCCCCCCTCCCTCATTTTACGTACATTTTCCCCCGATATTTATTCACATTGGCCACATATAATCGTATGAAACTTCATTGATATAAATTAATGAATTAAAAAGCAAAAGAAAACCTTATTTGTTACTACATTATCTTCAAATGTTTTCCTGGAAAAATATGTAATGTGTAAATAAATCGAAGAGCAACCCCAAACCCATGTGCATGCAAGGGTCACCAAGAAACACATTATTTTAGCCCTTTGCTTTTTAATTCATTAATTTATATCAATGAAGTTTCATACGATTATATGTGGCCAATGTGAATAAATATCGGGGGAAAATGTACGTAAAATGAGGGAGGGGGGGATAGTGATCGGAACTGCTTGATTTATAAATGCGGATGAAGAATTAAAAATAAAATGTTACGTGATCATGCGGAAAATAAAAAGTCGAGGATCGAACCCGGGACATCACTATCATGGAACCAGTACGTGTGCAGTAGGGCTCCGGACTCCGCTGAAACCCTTAAGCCGATAAAGCGGTACTAGAGGCTGCTTCAGTGTTGCCACGCGCCGCACGACCAAATCACACGCCGAAAACGCAACTTTTGGGAATTTTTTACGCCCTTCCCATTGCGCATTCGGGAAAACGGCTCAAATTGACCTCTAGAATTGGTCCATAGAGTCTGTAAAAAAAATTCAGCCCAATCGGAGGCGGCAGGTCCGTAAGTTCCCCTTGTCAGTTCTAATGGAGTCCAACAACGGGTGCTCCACTAAATTAGATCTCTTCAGAAGAACATCTCAGACTTAGCGTTGGAAAACGAAGCTCCGAAGGCATAGCTCCCACCGCTACCGAGATAGCGGTGAAAAGCCTCAATCTGCATCCTGTCCTGGGGGACGCAGGCGGACCCGTCCTAGAGCGGCGTGTCCGCGATGGCGAACCGTCATGTGCCGTTGGCGAGGATGCCGAGCTCGGGGTCGTTGGTGATCTCGTCGATGGTTGCGATGGAGACCTTCTTGGGCTTGGTCTGCTCGAGCATGGCGCGGCGCTTCTCCTCGTTGGTGTAGTAGTAGGCGGTGTGCTGCTTGGAGTAGACGATGCCGAAGACGACGACGGCGCCGGCGAGGATGAGGGCGGCCGCCGCCGCGAAGACGACGAACATCCCGAGCTGGGTCTCGCGCACGAGGGAGAGACCGGCCAGGCCGTCGCCGCGCCCGCCCGAGAGGATGCTGTTGCTGCACCAGGACAGCATGTTCGGCGTCAGAGACGAGACCGCCCGACCCGCCAGGTCCTCCGGCCACGTGCAGATCGGGATCGAGCTCACCTTGCTCGTCTGAAACGAACAAAAAAAATCAAGAAAATTTAATAATAATTTTAAAACAACATTAAATCGTGTCGTTAAACATTAAATTAAGGCGTGTCCCTGTCTGTGAATTTAAAATGTCATTAATTTAAGGTAGAAGTTTGGCAAAACAGGGAACAGTTGCGGAAAAACGTACATTTCTGTTAACACTAGTTTAAGTTATTTTGTTGACGAGTCATCGATGTCTTACCTTCTGATGATAAATGAAGTGAAAAGATTGAATACGGTCTTGCGGGCATATAAAGAATTTTTCTAACTTTTCTGGGAAAGAAATATTTGATCAGGAGAAACGATGCAACGTTGGAATGTTCACACGGTGTCGAAACACGACATGGGCCTTTGAAGCTCTATTATTCGATGCCGCGATTATTCTAACGCGAGTTCGAATAATCACGCCAAATACAGTGCGACCGGTGTTAAAGGCATAATAGCGCCTGCAAGACTTTTGGAATACTTCACGCATTGCGCCAAACAGTGCGGTTGGCGTGACGCCTATGTAGCGCCTACAAGACTGCATGAATACTTCTCGCATTGCGCCAAACGCAGTGCAGTCCGTCAGGTTGCGCGCAACGCATATTAGAGCCTACAAGGCTGTAGGAGTGCTGTAGGACTGCGTGTCGTCATTCTTGACTTTCTGCTCCAGTTTTTACCATCATTAAAGAGAAAATAAGTATCCTCGTCGTAACGCCACAGAAACTAGGATGATAATTGGTCACATTAAAAGAAAATAGAGCGAAAGAAAATATCGCGTCAAAATTTTCTATACTTTTATTTGAGATCATTTCGGTAAGTTTGCGGAAACTTTTCAGAAAAACTGTGTGTAGGTTTTTAAATACATTTTCCTATTATAAATAAAACAGAAACATGGTGCATAACGTTGCAATCAGAGATAAATGCGCGCTTCCTTTTGGGTACACCCGTTGGGTTTTGAATCGATTCATCTCTTAAAAAAACTTGAGCACAGTTGTTCCACAATTTTTTTACGTTTAGTACCAGGGAAAAAAATTAAAAAATAAAAATTCCTTTACTCCTTTTTGATGGAAGTGATAATCTCACTATTTGTTATCACGAATGGGGCTCTAGGAATTTTTATTTTTTATATATTTTTTTTTCTGCAGGTTGAGGAGGGGGTTGAAACCACCCTAAAAAGTCCCAGGCTTTATGTCTCTAGTTTTTTAGCCTTTGTTACCCATTTGCATGTGTTTTTTAGGTGAAGTACTTACATTGAGACGATGTAGCATGGGCGTTATGTGACACAAGTCACAGGACCATGGGTTCCCACTGAGGTGAATCAGGTCCAGGGAATCCAATCTGATCATCAAGCGTTCGTCGAGACCTTGGAACCGATTCCGGGACAGGTCCAACTCTACCAGCTTCGGCGTCGACGCCAGAGATAGTGAGGGAAGATTGACCAAGTTATTATTGGACAGGTTAAGAGATCGCAGATGGTCCAATCCCGAAAAAATTCCAACTGGGAACTCGTGGTGACCCATGTCAGCCAATGAAAGATGTCGGAGCTTTCCAGCAACCTGAAGGAGGAAGTACACATCATTATGAGGAAAAGAAGCTGTTAAATAGGAAGATGGAGAGAATGTTTCAAAGCAGAGACAATGTTAGGACCAGAGACTAGAGACCCTCCACTGACCTCTTGGCGACAGGTGGAAGTTTTTACTCTCAGGGATTCTTCAATTCCTTATGGACATTTATAAGGGAGCAACAGTCATCACCCTAATTTTGGCTGTTGACCTACCTACATGGTGGATGATGAGCTTCGGGTGACGTCGTGAGCCAAACAAGTTTCCCAAACTTCGGCCATTTTCGGCTTGTTTGTAAAATGAAACTGCCAACACGTTGTTAAACATCAACCATGTAGGTAAGTCAACGGTAGAATGCTGAAGTCCCGAAAGTAAAAACTTCCACCATGGCCAAGATACTGGTGGAGGGTCTTTTGTTTCTGGTAGGGACCCTGCTGTAGGAATCTGATTGTGAGCTACGTAATCGGGTGAGACCAAAGTGGGCTACATCTTGCAAATAGGAACTAAAATTTCTGGCGCTTCCGTAAATACACACACACATCGATGGTGAAACTGCAGAAATGTTCGGTTTGCAGCGTTGCAGACTTCTTGCCATATACTTTATTTTTTCCATTGAAACTACTGAATTTCACTTCTCGAAAATTTCAGTGAACTTGCTCCTCTTTTAGGAGAATGGTCCGTGAAAACTTCAAGTTATGATGTTGGTTCGGTGTCCTTTTAATTAATAAAATAAGAGCGGAGATTTCGAATCACTACAATCGAGAGACGCATTTTCGTAGTTTCACCGTCGATATATCTCTGACGAAACTAATGGTACGTACGTTGTTCTTTACCGAATCCAGAAATTGTAGCTCCTCGTCGCTAAATTTGGTAAGAGCGATCTTCGGAAGTGTTGGGTTTTATCGGAGCTTATTATTTAATCATCAATTATTTATTCATATTATTAAATATGAATTTACTTTTATTATCACATCACGCTGATCAGACGTGATGCGGGATTACATGATTTGATAACTGTTAAACGGTGAACGGCGTATCAAGAATAAACTAGGAGGAAAGTATGAGAAATAGTATTCAGTAAAAATGAAGGCTAAACATGTATCTACACAATCCAACCAAAGGCCAAAGCTACTTTTCGCCTAATAATGTCATGATCAATTTGTTGAGCAGAGGGTCAATTAAAATTCGCCTGACGATGACTGAAAAATGTCGGAGTGAATACTTTTCTAGGCGGTATCTGGCAAATAGGAGTACTAGATAATTTAGATCCAACCACTAATAAAATTCTCTAAAACTTTGGAGGAAAAATGTTCTCATATTTCCCGTGAAATTCGTATTTTATCAGATGAAACTTGGCAACGCCTGAAGGCTCATACGGCACCCTTCCTTAGAAACTTTTGTAGGGGACAGTCACAATTCAAATTCATAAAAAATGATAAAAAACCGTGAACTCACTTGTACTCACTTGTGCTAGGTATATTAATTTAGATGAGACGAGTTTCGGGGCGAGATGGCCTCATCTAGCACAAGTGAGTTCGCGGTTTTTTATCATTTTTTACCCTTCCTTAGAACGGCAGAACTGTGCAGTGGAAGACGTACCTGGAAGATGTTCTTCAAGACACCAAGACGGAAGTTATTTCCATCAAGGGTGAGACTCCTGAGGGACTCGGCTATGGGGGCAAGGGTGGCGGTCTCAACGATATCCAACTTATTATGCCCGATGTCCAGCTCGCGGATGCGGCTCGCGTGGCGGAAGGCGTTGGCGGTGATCTTGGCGAGGCGGTTGCGGGCCAGGCTGAGCGTGTGCAGGTGGAGCTGCTCGGAGAAGGTGTCGTCGAGGATGACCGAGAGCTGGTTGCCGTCCAGGTAGAGCTCGCTCAGTTTGGGCAGGTCCGCGAACTCGTCGGCCAGGATGTACTTGAAGTGGTTCAGGCCCAGGTCCAGCACCGTCAGCTCGGAGAGGATCGAGTAGAGCTGCCGGTTGATCCGCCCGATCTCGCACCCGCGGCACCGGAACACTTTCAGCCGCTGAAACAAGAGCACACAGATCGTAGGTCAGGGACAACGATCTAGAAACTATAGATAGTGGGATCCTATGCTAAGCCAACAGTGAAATTCGTAACATACCAAGAGCAACAATTAGGTTAGGACGAAGATAGTCGGTTTCTATGGCTTCTTATGGAACTGTTGCTGAATACGGACTTATATCAAATTTAGAACCAACCATTTGAAAATCTGTGTCCAGATATGGAGCTTAGCCATTCATCAAGTGCGTTTATGATGCAAATTCCAACGCTAAATCATTTATTCTAAAAACTCCCGTAAGGTTCCATGTATTTGAGGTTATGAAGAAGATAGCAATCGGTCATTTCCGCTCCCCGGCCGCCTATCAAACGACCGCTCCATATGTGTTACGTTTTTTTATAGGCCACCACCAATCTATAGATTCTAGATCGTTGGTCAGGGAGGGGCCGAATTTTGTTGGCACCTTTCACATGGTGGTGCAACAATCATCGATGAGTCCAAACCGCACCACCGGCCAATCAGAGGCGTTAAGCCGGACTTAATAAAGTGCAGTCGAGACTCGTCCATTAAGTTGTCGCCTACCTGACATAAGGGCGCAACCACGCATTGAGATGACCCCGGAAAAGCATTGAATTGTATGGAGGATAGGGTTCATTGCAGAATGTAGTTACGCCCTTATGTCAGCTATGCAAAGAAGTATGGTAAGTTGTTTTGTGGTGCGGAAAGTCAATACGCCTTCGATTCTCTGAATATGCAATACGGACATCCATTGAGCACGAATAGTTGCATTTAATGTTCGATACCGAGAAAACCATTGCACCTTCATATTTTTTAAAATATGCAGCATTGAAATGAAGGTCTTGCATGTCACGGAGATGCGCGATTTATAACTCATCCTTGCCCGTAAAATGTAAAATGTATTGCCGTTACGTATCGGCTCTGAGGGGTATGTGGAGTAAAAGAATCGGTAGGCTTGCGTTACATTATTTATGTGTGGAACGGCCTTCGCGGAAAACCATAAACCGAGCAACAAACACAGAAACAAATGCTCCACTAATCTTCACCGAGGGATCTTAGTTTCCTGTATATGTTTTACTATGCTTCGTAAACTTTTTATCGATTCGACCCGGGAAAATAGAAGCCGCCGTTTACAACTCAGAATGCACCCGACAGAAAATACATTTCGAAAAACTAACCAGGGATCTACAGCTCATAAATCGTGAGAGAACCGGATAAGAAAAGTTTAGCCTGGAATAAATTCTCGTCAATTTTTTTCCATTCATCCGCAACCTTTTTCATTTCCTCGACACACTTCAATAAGACGAGCGTAAACAAAAGGGAAAATAATACTTTTCGACTTTTACTGTGATTTATTAAACGTACAATTTCCGAATGGCTGGCTTGAAAGCGATTCTTTAGTTAAAATGTGCAACACAGTTAATCCGAGACGTAATCCGGCGTAGCACCTGCTGAAATTTGCAATACCACGCGCGTGTTTATAAAGGGTTTCTGGCGAAATACTCAGCTTGGTGCCGAACACGAGCATGTGTCGGGTAGGTGCTAGCTGCTTAGATGATTAACTGCTTCCGAAAGAGCGAACTTTTCCGCACTTACCTCCCGTATATTACTTTATGAAGTTGGTGTCAAAGTTGAACTTTTAATCATTTTTGACAATCCAATCCGTGAGAGGCTGTGGTGTCGGATTGGCAGGAGCAATTCGTTTCAGTGGAGAGAGGGGACAATTTGGACGTGAAACAAAGTGAGATAATAAGCAATAACAGTTTTCATTGCCGCAAAATGTGTTTTTCAGGCGTAAGTAAATGTTAGTTTAATATAGAGTCCCTTCATACCGAGAGTAAAGGTAATCCGAATCCATTTCTGATTGGTTCCCGTATGTTAGGCCTTCATAGTGTCACAAACGCGAATAAAGATTACGATTTCACTAATTGCAAAAATTATATTTTGGAATAGACCGGGGAATTGGGGGACGACAAGGAACAAATGGAATGAGAGAGGGAACGGAAACAGGAATTCGGGAATGGGTTGATCGAAGATTACAGAAAACGTCCGATTTGTGTGATCTTTAACAAAGATTAACTCGGAGTTAGATGATGCAAATGGCGTCATTTATATTTTTACCAATTACCTGACAAATGTTCATTGGACACACTTATATCCTCTTTAGGAGCAGTTGATTTTCAGACTGCCTGTTATGCGATTCATTTTCCTCGTAAAATTTTGCAAAGGTTTTACTCAAAGATTTGATTCTACTTTCTGTAGTGGCCCATCGAAAAGTAAAGAATTCAAAAGCACGCGTCGATATTTTTGTTGCCTTTATTGTTGAACTCTATCCTTGTTAATGTATCCGTCAGAAAAAAAGAACAAATGTGGCCCGAACTTTATGTAACATTAGCTCATATGTTTGACTCAATTGAAATGTTCGGAATTTTTTGGCCTTGCTTTCACCGCAAATTAATGCGGACCCAGCGTTATTTTACCACATTCTTTATTTAGTAGATGTGATTTTTTTGTAGATTGTATTTGTATCAGAGTTCATCAAAACTAACTGCAAAAAAGTATTGCGTAGTTGAGAAATACGAGGCAAGCCGTTTGCTGCCACGCGAAGTCACACGGGAGATATCATGAACGGAAATTGCATACTTCCCCTACTGAAGGAGTTTCTTAGCGTCCGATGTATAGTCATGTTACTACCAACAGCTTGTACATCTAACACGTTAACGTTCTGCAATGAAAGGCCTATCAGACACGGAATACGTTAATTATGTCTTTGTCTAAAAAGTTTTAATTTTTTTATCTACATGTCTATCGTGTATCTATTTCTTTGACTATGTTAAAAACGTCAAATGGAGTCAATATAGAATTTTGAGACTTCAAACACAGCTGTTACTGATGGTGAGGATTGAGATACTGGACTGTTTTTGCAGTAATGATTATTTCGGTTCTAAAATGATTCCAAAAACAGGAAATGGCAAGGACCATTTGAAATTTTGTAAATTGAATGAATCCTCTGTTTAACGCATTCTTGAGACGGTACTTACCGCCACAGATTAATCAAACTTTGAACCAAAAGTCTTGTAGTAAACGCTCAGAAACAAAACTCAATTCAGGTATGAGTACTTCGAAATTTTATTCTAATTCCGAGAGAACGTCCCGAGTGAATATCGGAAACGGTTTTGCATCTAAATTGTGTTCTACATGAAATTCTGGTTTCAAAACATGAATCAGAGTGCTTCAATTCGTACCGTGTCTAGTGGTCCAGTCTTAATTTCCCCCGTTGAATTGCCGATTTGCAAACCCGGGCTCTCTTCACATAGTTGATCGAGCGTTTGTTGGCGCCTCTAGACTGTTATTTGGACGTATTTATGCTAAAAGGAACTATGTGCATGGGGATTGTGTGCAACATAGTTCCTTTCAGCGTTAATACGTCCATTTCGTACTTGAATATTTTTCTATAGATAATAGTTGCATCTCCTTTTGTTACTGCTTTTGCTCGCTCTTTGGTCTCAAACTCCTTTTGTCTTCTTCTAATTCTTTTTCATTTGTATTTATAAGTTTGTTTATTGATGAAAAAAATGCTTAATTTAAATAACCAGCCCGCCGAGGAGCAGGGTTGCAATTTTTCATGAAAAATAAAATTTTGAAATTTCAGACATTTATGAAAAATATTGAGAAATATCGGTTCCTTCTCATGTTCCGCAACATATAAAAATTGCGACTGTCTTCTATTTTTGCGTATTTGAGCACGGGTTGCAGACTCTGACCCCTGAAACATACGAAATAATTCACAATCTCGTGAAATTGCATGACATATTTTCAAAAAGTTGGCATTTCCAATCTTTCACATTTTTCCTTTCACGCGTGCAACCCTGCCGAGGAGCGTGAGTGCGGAAACTAACCTGTACATCCTTGAAAATCTCAGGGTGAAGCTCCTGAATCTGGTTGTGGCTGAGGTCGAGCTGCTGGAGCTTGGCGAGCATGAGGAAGAGCCTCGGAGCGAGCTTGGAGAGCCTGTTACGAGCCAAGGAGAGGACCTTGAGCTCGAGGAGGTAGCTGAAGGTGCCGCTGTGCATGGAGTCGATGCGGTTGTCGTCCAGCCGGAGCTCGACGAGGTTGGCCAGGCCGCGGAAGTTGTGGTCGAGCATGGCCGTGAGGTTGTTCCGCCGGAGGTCGAGCACCTGGAGGGTCTGCACCCCCCAGAAGGAGTGCATCCCGATGGCCGGGATGTTCGAGTCCGTGATGTGCAGCTCCTCCAGCCGCTTGAACTGCTGGAAGATAGGACCGATCGTCAGCGAGTTCGGGTTCCACGCGGGGGCTGATATGTGGATCACCTGCAACAAACGGGGATTTTGATCTATAAACATGGTGTTCAGGACCGGGAATGATCGAGATCCATTTGGGGATCTAATGGCCTTTTGCAATTAGGACCTACAATGGAGATGTTGCATGTGTCAGGAATTTGCGATTTGACTATTGATACGTACGTAAAAGTTGGCGAGAAACACGATGGTGCCGCTGGTTTTCTCTGTAATTAACTCCCAAGCTCAAAAAAAGCTCTCAACTTGAGGCCAAAGTGGAGGGGATATCCCACGCTATCCTGAGAGTCCACATATACATCAAGACAAACTCTCCATGCAAAGATAGGGAGCAAATACATCGGCAGGATTGCCGTTCAGTTTTAGAGTCCCCAAATAAAGTGGCAGCCCTGTCAATGTATTTGCTCCCTATCTTTGCATGGAGAGTTTGTCTTTGATGTAGAGGTGGACTCTCAGGATAGGGAGATGGTGGACTCTTGTCTTGCCATCTCCCTTTTTTTGGTACAAAAAACATCGCCGTTTTCTGANTAGCGGTCAGGATCGAGCTGAGGTAGTTCCCAACCAGCAACGAGTCATCGGCAGGATTGCCGTTCAGTTTTAGAGTCCCCAAATAAAGTGGCAGCCCTGTCAATGTATTTGCTCCCTATCTTTGCATGGAGAGTTTGTCTTTGATGTAGAGGTGGACTCTCAAGATAGGGAGATGGTGGACTCTTGTCTTGCCATCTCCCTTTTTTTGGTACAAAAAACATCGCCGTTTTCTGATCGGTCTTCAAGTTTTACGCTGTCGCTGAGCCAATATAGACAATATATTACTAGGATTCCGTTTTGTTAATGTAATGCGATGGAACTGTGTGCGCGAAAGTTAAGGTCAGAGGTCAATGCTTGCATGTGATTCATTTGCAACTTGTTGCGGACATAAATTCGCCGAATTGATCGATGAATGTTCGTGGGAGCACTTAACATGGCGACTTTTTACTGTACCATACGCTCATCACAACTCTCTTCGTGAGTCACCAAAAGTCGAATCTGAGCGTTGATTTTCTTTAGAAAATGTTTACATTATATTCAAAAATTTGAAAGAGGGGCGAAAACCACCCGTAAGATTTTCAGAAAACTTTGAAATTTTCCATTTTTGTAGGTTTATTTCAATCGCGGATACCATATGGGTCAGTTGCGCTGGCAACAGAATCGTGTTTTGATTACAGACTCTCGTAGGTTAGCTAAAAATAATAAGACCAGCCCAAACAGCAACCTTCTGCGTTCAATATCAACCGAGATAGTGCTTTGAGAAATTCGATTTATAATGACGTCATCCACCGCGGTAGTGCATAGCTAGCATGGTTTCCCTCAACTTAGTTTCATCAAACAGTGCTTAGCCCGTGCCGGTGCAAAACCCGTTAGCATTGGCTCATAGATGTTAAAACGGATATAACTACGGTAGAGGAAACCATAGTAATGACGTCATAAACCGAGTTTTTCAAAGCGCGATATCTCGGTTAATCTTGAACGTTGAAAGTTGCTTTTTGGCAAGATCCTACTACTTAAAACTACATCAGCTTCTTGTTTGCAGCTATAGCTGATTTACAAGAAGAATCAGGTATTAAAACCTGATTCTGTAGCTATATAGCGCAACTGATACATTGGAAATCCATGGTGAGCGAAAGGATCGAACTTTAAATTGTACCTTGTAGATTTGGAATCTTAGAAGAGCAGAGCACCGGAAAAAAAACACATTGGATCTAGAGTCCAGACTCTTGAAAACATTGACAAGAAAAAATACTCTTGATTCAATCGGATTTTTGCTTGAATCAAAACGAAAGCCGCTTAAATTAAGAGGCTTGGTTCTTGATTTAAGCTAGATTCTGATTGAATCAAGAGTATTTTTTCTTGTCGGTGTTTTTAAGAGTCTGGATTCTAGATCCAATGTGTTTCTTTTTTCCAGTGAGGGCTGTATAGCATAATATTACCTCAGTTTCTAGCGACATGTCACGGATGGGGATAGGATCCATCATGCCGCCGCGAGAGCAATTGACCATGATGCGACCTCGCTCGTCCAACCCGCAAGCGCACTCTTGCGGGCAAATCGAGACATTGGTGTAGCCTTTCAGAATTATCAGACCAATGAAGACTTTGTACGTTTCCATCTGTAACAGAAGAACAAGACCAACTCTTAAAATGATGAGGTACAACATATGCATGGAATTCTGGAATAAACAGCAACTATAATTGTAATAAATATGTTTAATGGCATGATATACAAGAGACATTGGGGCTAGTGTGAGCACGAAACATGTGAAACCCGGAGATTTTTTGAACGGACATAATTTCTGCCCAAAGGACCGTAATCTAGTAACAACCACGAGAAAACGACTATATTATTGATACCTGCGCTCCTTAGGGCAATTCAAAGACCTCCAAACTTGCTTTTAATTTTTTTTACAAAATGATTCTTATTTTTACACATTATAGCATATTTTGAGCGAACTGCACCCTAACTTTTTTCATCTTTCAAAAGTAAGATACACATTGGGGAGGGGGGTCCGGAGGTAAAACAGAACTGGAATTATCTTTGGGGGGAGGGGGGGGGCGTAGATGTGGTAACTTTGTGGGACCCATGCACGTGTATTTTATACACCTTCTTTACATCTCTGCATGTAACCCACAGATTCTACGACAACACTTCAATCCAATGAGATGTGTGGATGAGGAGGGGTGTAGTAAGGGATTTTAGCATGGGCTGATTTCAACCAACGTCATAGGTATGTTCCGATCAGTGGCAATTCTTGAACGTTACCAACATTGCTTTTCCTCAATTTAAACGTATGTGAAACAATCGAATCTCGGCGAGGCAGCCCGAGCCCGTCTCACGTAGAATCGATATATCCAGTGACTTTAAGTGGAGTATTATCAGTGTTGCCAACTTGCTAGAATCGCCACTGGTTGCGATTATCGAAAGATATCGATAATTTTAATTGGTAGCAAGGTAGAGTTATTGTATTGATCTGGTTCGATAATCGATGCACCCGTTTCAATGGAGAATTCCTCAGGGACGTCCCGTTAAGACGGTCTATTTGACTTTCGAGGCATGCCCGGACAAATATCTCCCGAGTCCCTTAACCCTGCTTTTGATCGATGGAGCAGGACCTATAAGGAGACAATTACCCTTTATTGGCTTCGGTGCAACCGCGGTTGGGAAGATGAGGGCCCCCATTCACATTAACAGAGCGTTGCATCTAGTGAGCCAAGGAAGCAGTCCTTACTCCTTCGATCTCACGATCAATTGAACAAAATAATTCGTCCCGAGTCGAAATGTGATTAATCGTCGAACGCCAATTCAAATCAAATACACGGGAAAGGAGTGTGATTATGATTCGATGGAGTATCTTTAAAGGGAGAATTTTGGCATCTGAACCCTTTCCTTACAAAAAAGTGTGACTTGCCGGTTTTTGCGATTGCCGAAAGTTGCGGTACTACCAACATCAATTGGAAATGTCCATATCGTCCAAAAATTACAGGGGTGCCACAGTTAGGGAATTTTCAAAAGTCGGGGAAAACCTGGAAATCTCAAGGGAAAATTGTCCAGTCAATATTATTTCCTTTCTATAATGGGTTAGAGGTTTCGAATGACAAATTCTACCTGAAAACTTCTTCATCTGAACCCTTTGATCACAAAATAATTGTGACTTGTCGGTTTCTTGCGGATTGCCAAAAGTTGCGGTATCACCAAAATCAATTGGGAATGACTTTATCATCCAAAAATTGCAAGGTTGCCGCAGTTAGGAAAACCGGGGTCGGGGAATTTTCAAAACTCAGGGGAAACCTGGAAATTTCAGGGAAAATGACGAAAATGCGAGGGACAAATTGTCAAGTCACCTTTACTGCCTTTCGAGTTGGCTTTGACGTTTCAAATGACACGTTTTGCCTGAAAACGTTTCCAAATCATGTTTTTTTAAGCATCCAGCATATCCTCGATTGTCAGGGAGTTTTATCAAAGTGTGACAGAGAAATCAGAAAAATTCCAGGGAATTTTAATCTCTAAATTCTGCGGCAACCCTAAGAAAATCGGGGTAGTACCAAAATTTTAGGGAATAACTCCTAACCTTTTTTTTCCGGGAAGCGTTAGGTAAATTATTTATGATCCTCCACCGTGCGAAAACAAACGTGTGTTGGCGCGACGTCCGTTCAAGAACGCCCGGAATCCAAGAGCGGTATCACCGAAATGACTTTTCGCAGCCCGAGGTCGGGTCTGGGGCGCTTAATTCAGCCGAGTCGCACAGAGGGCCGAGACACGGGAAATAATGAGAGGAAATTTGTTAAGCTCAAGGTGCTGCGGGCTGCAGGGCGCGCCGCTTGAAGGGATTAACTCGGGCGACGGAAGGGGTGACGGGGTGAGAGTGTGGGGCGGACAAAATTTAAGCTCGGAAACCGAGTAAACGCGGTAAGATATGTAAATTGGCCAGGGCGAGGTTAGCTGTAAGCCACGCCGTGATAAGTGAAAATCCGCCGAGTTACTCATCCGCGCCCAAGAAAAACGACGTATGAGTCCTCAGACGTTGCCAAATTGCCAAGAAAAGCGCGCATCTCTAAAAGCGTGAGATAGACTTCTAGACAAGGTATGAACTAGCCTCCTAAGTCCTAAGTCTAGAGTACCTGCATGTGGGAGTGTATTGCCATCTCTATGCCGCCCTCTGATTGGTCCATTAGTTTCAGGCTATCATGGAGCTCTAAAGTTATACAAACCCGACCCAGAGGAGAATGCATTATCGACTGAGAAATGAATGATAATAATAGTTGTGTCTGGCAGAAATACGTCCGTTTAACTTACATTTTCTCACTTTGAGCTCTTGAAAAAACCTAGAGCTTGCCGCTCTGAGAGATCGCTTGTTTTTAATCCCTCCGATGGATCTGCAATGGGCCACTTGAAACGGTATATTTGAGTAAAAAAAAAACGGACTTGGTTCACACATCTTTAACAGATGCTAATGTACCAAGAAAGTATGAATAAATATTATGTTAAGGGGAGAAATTTGGCAACATTTGAATAGCCATACGATGTTTTTCCTTTAAAGTGGCCCTCCTGAAGTCATGACTTCCCTCTCTGGTCTCTGCTCCCTCTCACCCTGCTCATTTCTCGCCGTCTTGGGAGATGTATGTCACAAGTCGTCGCTCCTCTCACGCTCTCTCCCTCTAAGGGCGTATCAGCTTATAGAATCGCTCCTTATTTTCCATATAACTCCATGTGTTTCAGGGCTCACGAGGAAATGAGACACGTCCCTACGTCAGAGGGGTGACAAAGCGAAGTGTCTCATACGAGAGGTCAACAGGTATTATAAACTCAGACGAAGTGTCTCACAAAGTGACCCTGCATTACTGCCGTGCTAAGAAAGAACGCTGTATGAACATTCGAGAGTTGCCAAACTCTCTGATAAAACATGAATGTATTTTTGAGGAAAGTTATACATATTTTTCTTTGAAATTTTCAGATATTGTAGATCAAATTGCGAACAAAATTGTCTGAAAAATTCGAAGAAAAATATTCACAACTTTTCCGGTAAATTCGTTTCATACTGAAGGAAATATGACAACGCCTGAAGGTTCATACGGTGTTCTTCCTTGGCACGGTAGATTAGCTGTCCGACTACGTGGACAGAGACCGAGTATTTTCGAGATCTAGCATGAGTATAAAGGAACAACGCCGTACGAGTCATTAGGCGTTACCAAATTTCCTTACGAAAAATCACGAATTTTCGGGCAAATTGGTGAACATTTCTCTTTCGATTTTTCAAAGGATTTCGGTTGTAATTTGAATCCACCAAGTCTGAAAATTTCAATGAAAAATATTCCTAACTTTCTTCAAAAGTAAATATTTTCTGGGGGAAAATCTGGCAAAATTCGAATCCTCTTACGACGTTTTTACTTAGCACGGTAGAGTATACCTCTGGAAAGCGAAAACCCTGCTAAAAGTCGGTCTTAATGACCTGACCAGTCAGTCTGACATTCATCTGTTTCATGATAGGAGTTGGTGATCTACACTACACAGAGAGAAATTTCAACATAAAAGTTTGGTTAAAACGGGAAGTCAAACACAAAATAACCCTAGTCTTCGGTTGAAAATTTCAAGGCAGAATGCCTGCTAGTTTTTTTGAAGAAATTTAATAAAAAACGGGTGATGAATACCAACGTCTCAATCGGAAAAATGCATTTTACTAGTCTCTCCAGTGTTTACTGCGCTGAATTCACCGTGAACTGTACCAAAATCAACACAAAATTTGTGGTGGCTTGCGTTTCTCTTCCATTTAAGCAAAAGTAACACAAGGAAATGAATCCGTGTATAAAGCAGCAATAGCTAGCAACCTAGTTTGCTCCAACCTCAAGCAACTATTTTAACTCTCCGGAGATCAAATTGCATACACAGCAAAATGAAGGAGTTCAGCGTGAATCCGGTTATTCATGTCAAAATGGTGTGCAGGCAACGCATCACAGTAGGAGCAAAGTTTTGGTGAAATCCAATGATAATGTTCACGTTATGTAAAAAAACAACTAGTGCTGAGCCCTAACTGTTTAGATCAAATGGAGCCAGCTAAAACGGCAGTAGTGCCGGGACTCCCAGTCTGTTGGGCTGGACTCTAAAGTTGTAGGGATCAGCACTACTGCCATATTGACAGGCTCAATTTGATCTAAACAGCTAGGGCTTAGCAGTAAGTTGTTTTTTCCGAGTTTTTACTTGAAGTGATTTTCAACATAACAAATGAACACACGTTGAAAATTGTTCTTTCGGGAACGAAATACGGGAATTTACTGATGATCATCTTGGGTTGCCTCAATGTGTACGCCTAGTGGTCCGTTGTTCCGCGAAAATTGAGTTGAAAGGATTTGACGTGGTGAGATAATTCCTGAATACAAAGCCAAGAGGCAAAGGCTACTAGCTCATCTCCACGGTCATTTTACGTGAAATTGAGTTAGCACCGACGCCGAGCCGGGTCGGAGCAGGCTGCGATGTACACCCACGCACGGGCCCTAAGTATGCGTCACCTGTGAGTACCCAGCATCCCTTTTTACGTAATGACTCACAGATGAGTTGAGTCATCGCGCCCCGATGAGGAGGGTGGCGCACTGTTGCGCTACCCTTTGATCGTCCGCCTCT